TGAAGACTGTATTGCATTGTCAATGGAAGTCATGCTTATATCAGAACATGTTCTCTACTTATTAAAGGGAACATAACGTTGAAAACTGAATTCTCCACACTGTTTTGAAATAAAAGAGTTTGATGTAGATTTAACACACGTTTCAAAATATGCTGTTTACTGCCCGGTCCATACAGCCTGTATATGGAGACTAAGCTACAAAAACAGCCTGTTTTGGATCAATTTCTTTTTTAAAGTCTTGAAAAACAAACACATTTGCATGCTTTTGCCCTTTCCGCCTGCAGCAGATTAGCCCCATCAAAAAAACAAACAATTTAGTAAGACATCATAGACCTTATTTACACACTTAAGCTAACTTATCGCCTGCATAACATCCTGCTTAGTAGGATGCTGTTTCTACGCTCATTGTCCATTTTATCAGCTCCACTTGCTATATAGGTGCACTTTGTAGTTCTACAATTACAGACTGTAGTCCATCTGTTTCTTCATCGTTACTACAGTGGTGAGAATGATCCACCACCCAAATAGTACCTGCTCTGTGAGGGTCCACTGGGGTCCTGACCACTGAAGAACAGGGTAAAAGGGGGCTAACAAAGCATGCAGAGAAACAGATGGACTACACTCTGTAACTGTAGAACTACAAAGTGCACCTATATAGTAAGTGGAGCTGATAAAATGGACAATGAGTGTAGAAACAAGGAGGTGGTCATAATGTTAGGCCTGTTCGGTGTACATTTACAGCATTTAGCAGACACTCTTATCCAGAGCAACTTACAAAAAGTGCTTTGTCCATCTAGAGAAAGTATCATTGCTAGTTACAAAAAGGTTAGAGAGAAAGCCGGTCCTGAACTCAGATACTGCTAGAAACAAAAGCCCATGTTGATACCTAGGGAAAATTAAACACAAAGGAAGACAATACAGTATTCCAATAAGTGCAGTACAATACAGTACAATGAATACATAACTCAGTGCTCACTTAAGTGCTGTAAAAAGAGACGTGTCTTCAGTTTGCATTTGAAGGCCGCAAGAGAGTCTGCTGTTCGGACAGCCAGTGTGTTTGTTAGCATAGCTAAGGCTTCTTGACTGAAAGACAGATAGAAGTTGTATCTCAAATAACATTAAAGCTACAAAATTAGGTGCTGTATTCCAGCACAGTAATCAGCTTCTTATTGGAATTTTCTGTTCCACCTTAAATGGTGCAGCAGGTTCGTTCTGGCACCTGTACAGATGCAGGAGTGTAACTGCTGCACCATTTAAATGAGAAACTGGCAAATAAGAATTTAGTCCCTACTTCTTTAAAATCTCTGTGTACGTGGTGATCATTTTTCACCTGGCAGTTACTAGGAAAGCTCTCTGTTTACCGGTCGGTCTGCATTCCCACCCTCACCTGTGGTCATGAGCTGTGGGTGATGACCGAAAGAATGAGAACAAGCATACAAGTGGAGAAAATGAGCTTTCTTCGAGGGTGGTGGGCTACACTCTACTGACAGGGTGAGGAGCTTGGTCATCCGGGAGGAGCTCAGAGTAGAGCCACTACTCCTCCACCTGTTGTGGTAGTTCGGGCGTCTGATTAGGATGCCCCCCCCCGGCCGCCTCCTGGTGGGGGTGTACCAGGCACGGCCTACTGGGATGAGCTCCCGAGGTCGTCCTAGGACCCGCTGGAGGGATCATATCTCCATGTTGGCCTGGGAGCAGCTCTGGGTCCCCCGCAATGAGCAGGGGGCAGGGTAATGTCAATGTCAAATTGTTCAAGTTCTCTCACCAACAGCTCCCACTTCACCTCAGTCAGAACCGCCGTGGCACTTTCCTTGAGTTAACCCAGTTCCTGTTGTACACGAAGCCACAGATATGTCCAGTGAGCCACTGGTGGGTCCAGCATCCAGCTGATACATTTCTTCATATGTGTACTCAAGTTCATACATATACAGCTAAAAATGTCAAAATCATAATCTTTGATAGTAGGAGGATAGTGGGCATCTGTTGGCCCCCTGATGCCAAAGCTGGCAGTCCAGTCGTGTTTTGCTCAGCGTTTATATTAGGCCTAGTCATTATTTTCTTTCCCTCTCAGTTGTTTGTAATATTTGTCTTAGTTTATTTTTCAAAATAAAAGTCTCTGTGCATTTAAAATCTGTTTGAAGAGATTAAAATCTAGTTAGTGCTGGTATGCAGTACCAGACAGTAACCTGGGTGGTCCGAGGGTGGACCAGCAGTGGCATACAGTCAGCAAGGTGCCGAGCTTATCAAGCCAGCAGACTGATATATGCTCGCTATCTGGGATTAGACATTGTTTTGATCTTCCAAGTACAAAGGCTTTGCTTCTCTGGCCAGTCGCCATAAGTTAGACACTGTCTGTGTGTTTAGGTATTCCCACAGCGCCATGTCTGGTCATCTTGCGTAGAGGTAAAGGTGGTTCCAGTTACTCACAGTATCATTCAGCTATGCAGAGAAGTTTATTTTGTATTTATATTATATTATGTGCTAAACCACATTAATGTGTCTGTGCAGAATAAATAACAATATGGATGCATTTTTATTGGGTTGCGAGACGTTTTTGGCCTTATATTTATGGAGATGAGTTGTCCAATTCCATTGTTTGTTAGCAACATTAGCCTAGTGTCTCCCATTGTAAATCAAAGAAGTATTCATCAGATATCAAACACGTCTTGTCTGAGTGACCGCATTTGGGGTCAGTGATAAATCACATTAATCTTATTTTTCACCAAACTATTCCTTTTAAGGGGAATTCCACTGTTTTTTTCTGCATAGTTGAGTGGTTAAGATGTAAACACAGTGATTCAGAGTGGTTTGGTGTGAAATGGTTCAGATGTCTCTACAGTGGTGGTGATATGAACCAGGGGTCGCCATGACTACAACACAAATATAGACATTTTATTTACTTTCCAAAACCACCAGTGAACCTACACGAGTCTTCTGAGTTTATATGGAATGTTGACGATGGAAAATAGTGGAAAATCTGGAATAATAAGTTTACTTTGGGGACTATTTTGCTTCACAACACCCTGCTTGTTTCTCTCCACCATGAATGAGTTTAAGGCCAAAATCTTCTCAAAACTATTATAAAACAGTGTCTCAGTCATCAGACAGTGAATTCATAACCATTTCATGTAGTAACTTTCTGTGAGGGAGCTTTTAGAGGTGGACGTCTGGTTCCTATCACCACCACTGTGAACAATTCTGACTCGTTTCTCTAGAACAGAGCGTTTCACACCAAACCACTCTGAATGACCCTGTTTACATCTTAACCATTTAATTCTGCAGGAATTTTGGTGGAGTTCCCCTTTAACTTACTATTACAGCTCCAAGTAACTGAAAACTTACAATACGAGGATCATCTGCAGACCTGAGAAGTCGGGCGTTTACAGATCAGACGGCTTCTGTGGGAAAAAAAGACTGAAAGGCTGTGCGATTGTGAGCGATAGTGGGTGCCGTTTCTTTTTCACGGCTTATGTAATCGTTGCTATGCATTGGTGTTGTCAGGTGAAGTTATCCAACACCAGCTTCTCTCTCCTCCCTTCTCCCTTCTCTGTTCGCTCTTTCCTCTCCTCTCTCTTCTGTTCTTCTGCTCAGTTTCTGCTCCCACACAGCACCGCATCCACACACACACTCAGGGGCCGGGGGGAGGGGGGTGTTGGGTTGGGGGGGGGTGAGTGTGTGCTGTTCAGCTGCGTTGTCCTCAAACACAGAGAATCACAACTGTTCTCCTTTAAACACAAACACAGCACACTCACTCACTTCCTGCACAGTGAGGAATGGTTTTTATTGAGTGATGAAGATTTTTACGTTTTTATTGCTCATCTTAATTATTTTTTACTTTGCCTCATTTTATCTGCTTTTAACCTACTTAATCATATATATTCTTACTGAATAATTCATCATGAATATTGAGTAATTCATAGTAGTTCCTGGATAATTCATAGTGGTTACTAAATAATGCATAATACATTTTGGATAATTGATAGTAGTTACTGCGCAACTTTCCAGTGGTCACTAAATAATTCATAGTAGTTGACAGTAGACACTGAACAATTCATAATGGTTACTGGATAATTCATAATAGATACTGAATAATTCATAGTTGATACTGAACAATTCATAGTAGTTACTGAATAATTCATTGTAGTTAATGAATAATTAATGTAGATACTGAATAATTCATAGTAGATACTGGAGTACTGACAGTAGACACTGAACAATTCATAGTAGTTACTGGATAATTCATAATAGATACTGAATAATTCATAGTAGATACTTAATAATTCATAGTGGTTACTGAATAATTCATTGTAGTTAATGAATAATTAATGTAGATACTGAATAATTCATAGTAGATACTGAACAATTCATAGTGGTTACTGAATAATTCATAGTGGTTACTGAATAATTCATATTAGATACTGAATAATTAATTGTAGGTAGTGAATAATTCATAGTAAATACAGCATAATTCATTGTAGTTAATGAATAATTAATTGGAGATACTGTACAATTCATATTAGTTACTGGATAATTCATAGTGGTTACTTTTTTTTATTAATTTTTCCACATTAACCTCATTTTTTGTATTTTTGTGTATGATTTTCCGGAGCGTGTGGGCTGAGTGATGGTGATTTATCTCCGTATCTGGATGATGATCTATTTTACTGCAGAATAACTGTGTTAAAGTGAATGATCCATTGACATGTTTGTCCAGCGTCTGAAATGTTCTTAGAATCTCGCTGCGTCTGCCGGGTGTTTCCGGTAATTTGGCCGCAGATGTCTCAGTGAGCCGCGCGTCAGCGTCACCGCAGACGTTCGAACGAGCTGCAGGGATTTACTGCTATTGTTCTCTGGCAGTGGAAGTGAAAAGCCTGCTGGCAGTGAGGGAGGAGCGCTGGAGCGGCCTGTTCTGCTGATGACTGGAGATAATTGAGATAATTATGAGTTTGGAATATGAGCTGCTGTTTCACGGACACTCATTACCTCTAATATCTCTGTTCCAGTGCGCCTACATGACAGCATCTCAGAGGAGGGGCATCATTACCTGATCTTTGACCTGTAAGTGAATTTGCTTCAGATCATTTCATCTCAACTTCTTTCTTTCTTCCTTTCTATTTTTTTTATAATTATAACGTGACAACATTTTAACACGTTGAAAAGGCATGACACGACAGGAAAAAAACAAAAAGATCAGTTATTTTAATTACTTACTTTACTTTACTTTACTTTACTTTACTTACTTTACTTACTTACTTTAATTAAGTAAGTAATTTGGCCGGCTATTCTGAGTTTGTTGAAGATAAAACAGAAAGTCACCAGTAAACTGAAATCAGCTTTGATTTATAATTACAATTTAGATTTGTTGATGTCAATTTTGTACAGAATACATGTTACATCCTTACACTAAGTAGCAGTTCAGAGATGTAACACTTCTCATGACGTGAAGAAAACTATACATTAAAGATGAGTGACTTTCTAAAGAAAATTACATTGTAATTTCATTAAAAGTACAAATGAAGTAATCAGCAAAATCCTGATAAAACAGCTCGAACCCGATTGTTTCACTGGTGCTATATCTGCAGAGAAACACTTTAAAGTGCACAGCACATCATACACTCTTAAAAATGGTGGTTCTTCAAGGGTTCTTTTGTAAAGGGAATGGTTCTATTGAGAACCATGAGTTCTGTGTAGAACCATTTCATGCTTATATGGTTCTTTGCATGGTGAAATGGTTCTTCAGATTGATGGAGAATGTGGAATAAGATTCTATATAGAACCTTTTTGAAAATGGTTCTGTGCAGCACCAGAAACGGTTCTGCTATCGTTACAATGTCAAACTTGTAACAATGGCAGAACCCTTTTCGTTGCTGTATAGAACCATTTTCAACACATTCTCCATCAATCTGAAGAACGATTTCACCATTTAAGCATGAAATGGTTCAACGTAGAGCTCTGCATAGAACTTTGCCCTTTACAAAAGAACCCTTGAAGAACCAACTTATTAAGACTCTAGCAGGCTAAAGATTCTCCTCAAGGATGTGCTGTTACCAATTAACGAGCTTTTGTGGGAGCAGTTTTTGCTTTTAATCCACAGTTTTTAATCTCAGAAATTCAGTTTGAAACAGTGAAAATGAAATTTTGAATGTAGAAAGTCTGTTTATAGCGATGTTTATAATAATGTTCTTATTTGAGGTTGGGTTCTTATTTGAGGTTGGCAATATGAAAAATATAAAAAATATCATATGATACATTTTCATGATACATCGCACAATATTTTGGCACACCGTCACTATGTCACAGTATGTCACAGTATGTCACATTTAAAAACCGCCTTCAGAAACTCTTAACACAATGATATTTATTCTACATTTCACTTTCTGTGCGGCACTAAATTCGATTAAACAGGATTAATTATGAGTAATTATCTTCATAATGACATATGCAGTTGCTCAATGCTCTTTATTTACTGATGATATCCATGATATGCTGTTTATCACAATAACAAACAGTATCACAGTATCAATAAAATAAATTCAAATTGCCCACCTTTAATTCATACTAATGGAAATTGAACCATTACAGTCACAGTGTCTGTGAAGTGCAGAGTCAGTGCTGCCCTTGATTTAGATTTCATGATCTAATTGAGGTCATTATTTCAATATTTTTGATTAATTGTGCAGCCCTATTAACAGAACAGTAATCAATGTCATGTCACGACTAAATTATGTTGTGATCTCAAGATAACAAATTTTGTTATCTCAAGATCATGAGATAATTAAATTACAAGTCTTCGTTATCTTGAGATCACAAGACAGTTGTTATCATAAGACCACAGCTTAATTATCTTATGATCTCACAATAGCAACTTTTATCTTGAGATCACAAGATGATTAAGTCATGATCTCATAATAACAAGTTCATTATCTTGATCACAAGACAGTTAAGTTGTTATATTGAAATCACAACTTAATTATCTTGAGATCACAAGATAAGTCGTGATCTCAAAATAAAAACTTTTTTTTCTTGAGATCACAAGACGGTTAAGTTGTTCTCTTGAGATCACAACTTAATTATGTTGTGATCTCAAAATAACCACTTTTGTTATCTCAAGATCACAAGATAAGTCGTGATCTCAAAATAACAACTTTTGTTTTCTTGAGATCACAAGGTACTAAGTCGTGATCTCATAGTAACAACTTAGTTATCTTGAGATCACAAGACAGTTAAGCTGTTATCTTGAGATCACAACTTAATCTCGAAAACATAATTAAGTCACGACCTTAAGACGACAACTTTGTTATCTTGACATCACAAGACAGTTAAGTCATGATCTCAAGATAACAATCTAGAAAATTATAACTATCTCATGGCCTCTCTGTACTTCTGTAGTTACTGTATTATTTTACTGTATTATATTAGTTTAATAAAATCTAAATTTAAGGCAGCCAGATTATAAAATTTCATTTTTTGTGATCAATTTTTTTATTACCAAGTAAGCATATAGATCATAAGAACTATATTCACAAAGAATAAGATATGCCCACAGGATAAACTTCATTTTTTAACCAGTGAAATCAGCCATAATGACATGAACAGTCACAATGAATTAGTTGTTGTAAGAGCTCCTGTGTCAGAGTGATTAGATTAAAGTGTTTGTGATGATTTAAGATGTTTTCTTCAGAGCTGTGGTGAAGCTTAAACTCAGAGGCTCTCGACTGCCGGGCTGTGGGTCAGTGATACCGGGCTGCAGTAATGCAGCAGTGGAGGCCTATCTGCTAAAATCCACTATTCTGTTCACTAATGTAATTAATATTAATATAAAAGTACTCTTTATTGAAGGAATAATTCTTGCTTTAAAATGTTCAAGAACTAATGTTGTCACTTATATCAGCCTCACATCTCTGTATGGCGTGTGCATGTAGGAATTTGCTACTGGCTGCTTTCAGCTGACGGCAGGAGTGAGTGAAGAAATGAAGAAACTGACAACATTAACAAACGTTTTTACTGGGGCTGCAGACACAAAAACAAGAACAGAGACAAGAATGAAAAGCAAACCAAGAAGAAAAAACATCAGTGAATTGAAAATATGATTTGTGTTAAAAATATGGTTGCTGTGGCGACAAAACTTTGTATCTCCAAAATGGTAACTGTACGGGAGGAGGAAAAAAATGTTGAATGGAAGCTAATGGGACAAGATTTTGTTTCCAAGAAATTTTGGCAATTCATTCAACTCAATGTAAAGAGCAGCTGGCATTTCCAAACACTGCGCAAAGGTAAAAAAACAAAAATGGAGACACAACGTTTTGTTCTGACAGTGCTGGTACTCCAGATCCACTGTGCATGGAGTTCAGACAGGAGCCGGTGAATGAGGCTGTGAATGGAATGTTCAGAAAATTTGATTCTACTCAACATTCCAAAATGGAATGTTCAAAAAATTTGATTTTCCACAACATTCTAAAATGGAATGTTCAGAAAATTTGAATGTCCTCAACATTCCAAAATAGAATGTTCAGAAAATTCTAATCTATTCAACATTCCAAAATGGAATGTTCAGAAAATTTGAATCTACTCAACATTTCAAAATGGAATGTTCAGAAAAAATTCGAATGTCCTCAACATTCCAAAATGGAATGTTCAGAAAATTTGAATCTACTCAACATTCTAAAATGGAATGTTCAGAAAAAATTTGAATGTCCTCAGCATTCTAAAATGGAATGTTCAGAAAATTTGAATCTACTCAACATTCCAAAATGAAATGTTCAGAAAATTAGATTTTCCACAACATTCTATAATGGAATGTTCAGAAAATATGAATGTCCTCAACATTCCAAAATGGAATGCTCAGAAAATTTGATTTTCCGCAACATTCTAAATGGAATGTTCAGAAAATTTGAATCTACTCAACATTCCAAAATGGAATGCTCAGAAAATTAGATTTTCCACAACATTCTAAAATGGAATGTACAGAAAAATTGATTTTCCACAACATTAAAAAATGGAATGTTCAGAAAATTAGATTTTCCACAACATTCTAAAATGGAATGTACAGAAAAATTGATTTTCCACAACATTAAAAAATGGAATGTTCAGAAAATTTGAATCTACTCAACATTTCAAAATGGAACATTTAGAAAATTCTAATCTAGTCAACATTCCAAAATGGAATGCTCAGAAAATTTGATTTTCCACAACATTCTAAATTGGAATGTTCAGAAAATTCAAATGTCCTCAACATTTTTAAATGGAATGTTCAGAAAATGTAATTTTCCACAACATTTCAAAATGGAATGTTTAGAAAATTCAATTTTCCACAACATTCCAAAATGGAATGTTTAGAAAATTCAATTTTCCACAACATTCCAAAATGGAGTGTTCAGAAAGCTTGAGTCTTCTCAACATTCCAAAATGGAATGTTCAGAAAATTTGATTTTCCACAACATTCTAAAATGTAATGTTCCGAAAAGTCGAACGTCCTCAACATTCCTAAATGGAATGTTCAGAAAATTTGAATGTCCTCAACTTTCCTAAATGGAATGTTTAGAAAATTTGATTTTCCACAACATTTTAAAATGGAATGTACAGAAAAACAAAGACAACATATCAAATGTTGATACTGAGAAATTTTCATTCTGAAAAAAGAGAAATGCCCATTTTGACTTTGATGGCAGCAACACAACATTTTCCCATTCTTGCTTGAAATAGGATTTCAGCTGCTCATCAGTTTGGGGTCCCTTTAATGTATTTTTTTTTTTCATTCCGTAATGCAGTAAATCTTTTCAGTGGTGACAGGTCTGGACTGCAGGCGGGTCATTTTAGCACCCAAACTCTTTTACTACAAAGCCATGATATTGTAATAAATGCAGAATGTGGTCTGATATTGTCTTGCTGACATAAGCAAGGCCTTCCCTGAAAAGGACATCATCTGGATGGCAGCATATGTTGTTCCAAAACCTGTATATATCATTCAGCATTAATGGTGCCTTCACAGATGTGCAAGTCACCCGTGTCATGTGCACTAATGCCCCCCATGCCATCACGGATGCTGGCTTTTGAAATGTGAGCTGATAACAAGCCAGATGATCCCTCTCCTCTTTAGCCTGGAGGACATGATGTCCATGATTCCCAAAAAACTTTTTAAAAGTTTGATTCGTGATTCGGACCACAGGACACTTCACCACTTCACCTCAGTTTAACTTAAATGAGCCCAGGGAAGGCGGCAGCGTTTCTGGGTCCTGTTTATATATGGTTTCTTCTTTGCGTTTTAAGAGTTTGAACTTGCATTTGTGGATGCAGCGACAAACTGTGTTAACAGACAGTAGTTTTTGGAAGTGTTCCTGAACCCATACAGTGATTTCCTCTACAGAATCACGTCTGTTTTTAATGCAGTGCCGCCTGAGGGCCCAAAGATCACAGCCATGCAACACTGGTTTTCAGCCTTGTCCCTTGCATACAGAGATTTCTTGGGACTCTCTGAATCTTTTAATGAGATTATGCACTGTAGATGATGAAATCCCCAAGTCCTTTGCTATTTTATATTAAGTAACATTATTCTTGAATTGTTTTACTGCGCCTGCGCATTCTTTCACAGAGTGGTGAACCCCCCATTTTTACTTCTGAAAGACTCAGCCTCTCTGAAATGCTCTGTTTATGGCCATTCATGTTACTGACCTGTTGCCAGAATGGGCATATATTAAAAAAAACTATACGATTTCTCAGTTTCAACATTTGATATGTTGTCTTTGTACTATTTCCAATTAAATATAGGCTTTAAATGATTTGCACTTAATTGTATTCTGTTTTTATTTACATTTTGCACTTCTTTTCGACTTCTTTGGAAATGGGGTTCTGCATTAGCCTCTCAGTGCTAAAGCTAAAGAAGCTAAACTTCAGACACCAAATGTGTCTTGTCTGATTGAGTGGGGCTGATGGAGTCTGATGTGTTGGTTGAACTATCGATTTAACTCTCGAGTTGTTGGACTGATCTGTTGTTTCTTCCAGAGTGACGGGTGGTGAACTGTTCGAGGACATCGTCGCCAGAGAATATTACAGCGAGGCAGATGCCAGGCAAGTACACACACACACACACAGTCCCAGCAGTAACTCAGCGAAACCGTGCTGGACGTTTCTGCAGTAAAACAAGAAAATTAGAGGAGCGTCTTTATTTTTATGCTCCACAGATTTGTAGTTGTTTACCTGCTCGGTTGCGTCTGCCTCCGTCTGCTGACAGCATAAAAATCAACTCAAAACCATTTGTTCAACTCAGCTTTCAGTTACTTTCTGTCCTTTTTAAGCTTGTTTTGTTTGCACACTGTTTTGAAGCACACTAAGCTGCATTTCTCTATGAAAGGTTCTAAGAGATGAATTAGGGCAATCAAATGATTAAAATTATTGTGATTAATCAAAGTATTTTGTGTTGTTAATCATGATTAATTGTCTTATTTGCTCAAATTTGATCCTAAAGCAAGTTTTCCCCATGTTTTTTCCCATTTAAAAAGCAAGACATATTCAATAATTCAGAAATACTTTGACCACTGCATGTGTCTGCATGTTCCAACCAATGAGTGAATATATCATTAATATCATATATACAGTCGATGAGTGTATTTATCATAAATATCAAATATACAGTCAATGAGTGTACACCGATCAGGCATAACATTCTGACCACCCCCTTGTTTTAAACACTGTGTCCACTCCCTGTCCACTCTATTAGATACTTCTACCTTGTCAGTCCACCCTGTAGATGTAAAGCCAGAGACGATAGCTCATCTGCTGCTGCACAGTTTGTGTTGGTCATCCTCTAGTCCTTCATCAGTGGTCACAGGACCCTGCCCACAGGACACTGTTGGCTGGATGTTTTTGGTTGGTGGACTATTCTCAGTCCAGCAATGACACTGAGGTGTTTAAAAACTCCAGCAGCACTGCTGTGTCTGATCCACTCAGACCAGCACAGCACACACTAGCACACCGCCACCACGTCAGTGTTACTGCAGTGCTGAGAAAGATCCACCACCCAAATAGTACCTGCTCTGTGAGGGTCCAAGGGGGTCCTGACCACTGAAGAACAGGGTAAAAAGGGGGCTAACAAAGTATGCAGAGAAACAGATGGACTACAGTCTGTAACTGTAGAACTACAAAGTGCACCTATATAGTAAGTGGAGCTGATAAAATGGACAATGAGTGTAGAAACAAGGAGGTGGTCATAATGTTATGTCTGATCGGTGTATGTATATTATATACATACAATGATCATATTTTTCATATATATCATATATACAGCCAGTGGGTATATTTATCCTATATATCGAACATACAGTCAATTAGTGTATATATCATATATACCAAATAAACAGTCAATGCGTATATATATATCATGTTTATCATATATACTGTCAATGAGCGTATATATCATATATATCATATATACAGCCAATGGGTGTATCTATCATATAGATCGTGTATACAGCCAATCAGCATATATATCACATATCATACATACAGCCAATGGGTGTATTCATCATATATACAGTCAGTGAGTGTATATATCATATATGTCATATATACAGTTGATGTGCATATATTTATCATATATATCATATATACAGTCAATGAGTGTACACTAAATAAGTGTATATATATATATATATATCATATATATCATATATACAATCAATGGCCCTTATTCATAAAGCTTCTGAGAGTAGCAGTACTGATCTAGGATCTGTTCCTGTCAGTAAAAGCCTAATAAATAAGAGAGGAATCTGGTCCTAGATCAGCACTTCTACTCTGAAAAGCTTTGTGAATTCATGCCAAGTGTATATATCATATACCATATCTACAGTCAGCTCCTCCATAATTGTAGCCCCTTGCTGTCGTTCATACATCATCTGACCTTATTAAAGCCTAATCAGGTTTATTTAGAGGAAAACAATATCATGTGTAAATATAACGTGTAAGTTTTTATCCCGACAGCGACGAAGCGCTTTTAATGTCAGTATGGAGATGAAAACTGTCTTAATTATTGAGGCAAAATCTGCTCTTAATACTGAGGAAGATACTGTGATCAATGTGAAGCTGAGCACAGACCTGCTTTATGATGAACTAAAATGTATTGTTATTATTTCTGTTGAAAAATTGTTCATTGTTAATTGTGTTAATTGAAAACAAAGTTTTGTGATTTTAACTGAAAATCAGACATTGCTCATGAAAATTCAGAAGGCAGCGAGGCGTTCCGCTGACTAAAACCGCTCAGTCTGAGAGTGAAATTTAAATAGGGGTCATTTGTCATCATGTCCAGCTAATCAATAAATAAATAAACAGATAAAAGCTGCAGTTTGTTTACAGTCAGAGCGACTAATAGTGTGGATTTAAAGCCATTGATTTGCTGGGGTTTGATGACGGGGTATTAAAGCGAGCTAATGAAGGCAATCGGACGAGGTCGCGACCCCCCGGTGTGCAGCAACTCTCTCTAATCAGTTTACACTGAGCGCTGCGGCTATTTATATCTGCTCCTCACCGACACGACTCGCTGCTGCTGTTAATTACCCTGATCTCCGTTTGACCAGCATGTCCATGTTCACATTAGTTAAACATACAGAAAGACCTGCTTACTGACCAACAGGTCAGCTGTCTAATTTACTGACAGTTTTTATAGCACTTTTATGTAAAGTCAACCAACACAGGGACCTGATAACACAAAAGCATGAGCTTTGGGTACTTGAGTATTCATGAACAGCTTATTATTTATATTCATTAAATAACTAACATCGTATTAACACAAGGGGCCTTAAACTAAAGTGATGGATATTTATAACACTGTTATAAATATTATTACAGTAGTAATTGGGCTTATTAAGGCAGAAGCCACAGTATACTTTTAAAAAAGATGGTTCTTCAAAGGTTCTTTAATAATGAAAATGATTCTACACAGAACCATAAACACTCATAAACACATGAAAGAGTTCTTCAGATTGCAGAATGCGGAGTGCTCTAGATAGTTCTATATAGAACCTTTTAGGGTTCTATATAGCACCAAAAAAAGTTCAGCTATTGTTAGGATGTCAAGCCTGTAACAATAGAAGAACCCTTTTCAAAAAGGTTTTATATAGAACCATATACAACACATTCTTGTTCAATCTGAAGAACCATTTTGCCACGCAGAGAACCATTTCAGTATACAAATGGTTCTTTGAGTGTTTGTGGTTCTATACAGAACCAAAACTCCTCACAGTAAGAATGCTGATCTGGGGTCAGTTTACAGCTTTTAAATGGGTACTCAGGTATTCATGAACAGCTTATGCCAGTATTTATGGAAATAAATAAGATTAGATTAACAGAAAGGGCCTTAAACTAACGTGATGGACATTTATAACACTGTTATAAATATTATTCTGAAGTAACTGGGCTTATTAAGGCAGAAGCCACAGTGTTCTTTTAAAAATGATAGTTCTTCAAGGGTTCTTTAATAACAAAAATGGTTCTATATGCAACCATGAACATGCTAAGAACCCTGTGCATGATTAAAGGGTTCTTTGCATTGTGAAAGGGTTCTTCAGAATAGAGGAGGATGTGCTGTACATAGAACCTTTTTGAAAAGGGTTCAATATAGCACCTAAAAGGGTTCCGGTATTGTTACATGGTACTGTACAGGACGCTTTTTGCTAAGAGTGTATTTTTTACTTCTGATACTTTTTAATATTTTTGTTCTCAGGTTAGAAATGTAGACAGGGTACTTCCACTTTAGCTGAAGTACAGAAAATCTCTATGTATATGTATGAACATTATTACTGCATCAAAAACCTCCATAGAACTGATATATGAGGCTCATAACAACACTCTTAAAAATATGGGTAATTTTCACTACACAATTTTAACAATAAATGGTCTTAAACGCTGAAGTTAACTGCTAATTCAACTGAAGATCAGCGCGCAGACAACATTCTCAATAGCTAGTATATAACGAAAAGGCAAAGAGAAAGATTTAAGATGAACATCGATAATTTGGAGACGAATGGACTGATTTGTGTTTATAATCACTCCAGCTGGTTTCCTGATACGTTTAATCTGCAACGAGAAACTGACAAACACTAAAAAGTCATGAAGCTGAAGTCAGATTCTCATTCGCCAGCTTCTCGTTCAAATTGTCCTGTTCCACCTTAAATAGTGCAGCAGGTACATTCTGGCACCTCAGGCACCATTTAAGGTGGAACGGGAAAATTCGAACAAGAAGCTGGAGAATGAGAAGTGACTTCAGCCTCATAAAAGGTGAACATTGAGAGACGTTTTCCAAGACATTTTTCCACTTTTGTGGAAAAGTTTCCTGTCAGAGATGTGAGAAAAGCGGCTATAGCTGAACTAAAGCTTAAAGCAGAGCAAAGTAAGTCTGCGTTTTTGTTTATATTATATTTTTAGCCTTTACTAGAACATTAACACATACTGAAACATACTTACAGCCAAGAGGGTAAAATAGACGTAAATATGTTGTGGCTCCCAAAGTGGTTTGATTTTTGTTAAAGGACAAAATGGCTCTTCTTAATAATAATAATAATAATAATAATAATAATAATAATAATAACTAAATCACTGCTTTTTCAAAATATTTTATATATTTATGTTCATTAAAAACTTAAATTATAGAGAAATAAAATTCATGCAAATAAAAATGCAATAAAATAATATTAAATACTTAATAAATAATAACAATCACAGTATCATGTGTAATAAAAATACTAATAATACTACTATTAATAATAATAATACTTATTGTAATAATAGAAAATGTCTTTATCCAGTCCTTAAAGTGAAACATGAGCTTTTTCTTATTTAAAGACAATATTGAGTCTTAGAACATGAAATTGCTAGTTTATCATATATAATTGAATCATATAGAAGCTCTTTACTGACTCTGTGTGTGTTGTGTGTGTACAGTCACTGTATTCAGCAGATTCTGGAGGCGGTGCTGCACTGTCATCAGATGGGCGTCGTTCACAGAGACTTAAAGGTACGTCTGCATACAAACACTGACCAACAGGGATATCAGACCAGCACGGGTCAAAGGTTACACTCTGTTTACAGTCCAGCTTTAACTTTAAGAAGCAGCACAAAGTGAAAAAAAGCTTTTAAAGATCTAACAGACAGTAATGAGGTCATTACTGCAGAGCTCCATCTGCTCCTAAACGTGTGCAGTAAGTGCTGTTAGTTGGTAAAATGTCTTAAGTATAAAATAGTTTTGATTCTCGTCTCCACAGTTTTGCTCTGTGAGTGAGAATCATGTGGTGAATAAACCGTTAAACCCACCTCACTTTTCTCTCCTGTTCTCTGAGTCTGCTTGGGGATGATGAATGGACGGAGCGCATCTGATTTGAGAGCCTGTGGTTTGTAGCTTGGGTAGATCCACAGTAAAATATTACAGCTGAACGGGAAGTGAAGGATTTGATGGTGTATCATCGATCACGATGGCTGATGAGATTCCGGCTGATTTTTTTTCTTAGATGCAGCAAAGCTCTGCTGTCATTCAGACCAGCAATCAGCTCTGCTGGTAAATGATGAACGTTTCTCTCCAGAGAGGTTTCACTGTTTCAGTGTTAGCTTCAGGTGTGTTATGACACACTTCAGGCTGCGTTCATACCTGCCTTGTTTGGTGCGAACCAGCAAACTTTTTTTTCGTTCGCTTGTAGATGTTTTGTCAGGTATGAAGAAGGCCTGGGCGATGGGGCGATGTAATTAGATATCGCTGATGATTGACATGATGACAGTGTGGATCCCAAGTCAGGCCTGTGGCACAATCCTATTCGGCCTGCAAAAAGTATTTAAATTTTCGATTAATAATAGCCCATTTCACCATGGACTGCACTACAGTTCCCAGCATGCACCACGACATAATGTGTGCTCCCACCCCCTCCCCAACAACGATCTGTGGGACAGCACCACAAAACAAAAACTGTACACTGGGGACATTTAAAGAGGTTTAACAGTGATCTGCAGCTAATGTAGTCACTGTTTTATAGAAAACAATTTGTTTTTATTTAAAATTATTTTTGAATCATTCAAGTATTTAGTGCCTATTTTTGCAGTGGTAGTTTTGGCATATTTTGAACAAACAGTGACCATTGGTCATGGTTAAATATTAAGTAAAAATAAAAATAAATAAAAACACAGATGGCCCACAGATTTGTTGAGATTTTTCAAAATGGCCCTTTTAGAGGTTGAGTTTGACACCCTGGTGTAGATGATAATCGCTGTGTGGGGAAATTGATAGAGGACAAAGTTACCCTTAAGGGTCATTCTACAGAAACGTCCACTTTTCTATCTCTCCATAGGAGTCACTGGTGTTACTGATCCTCGTTGGTGTTACACATAATAAAGGAAACACCAGAGAGATTTTCAATAAAAATGCATTTACAAAATGAATGCTAGAGCATCAAACCACATGTTGTCAATCATGGAATATCCACTAAAATATGGAATTTAATCCATTTGTATTCTATTTTTACACAGTTACCTCAGAATAAAGTCGGTCACACCAGTGACTTCAGCTAAAAGCTTCATATGAAATCATGAGCTGAATGAGAAAATCTCTGATAACTGAAAGACACAGTGGACTCACCATGTGCTTTTCTTCATAGATCCTCAGAAAATAGGTAAAAGGAGGTCAAGTGATGTCATCAGTGTGACTTTTATTTCAAAATAAAAGATTTTTTGTTACACAGTAACAACAGTGACACGACTCCTGGGGACAACAACTTTCATTATATATTTTATAATATTTATTTGCATTTGTTTTCTTTATGTCATTTAATTTATACATTTCATAGTCATGTATAGATTATTCTAGTTAATATTGCAGAAAAACATATTTTTTACTTCAAAATATGGCCTCAGCCTTTACACATGACTGTGAGGACGAGCTCTTCAAGAGATAGACAGAAAGCTGCCTGTTAGTTCTCTGCTATGGTCTGTAATGCTAGCTTTTCCGTACGGTTCTTGCCCTTCTACTTCTACTTCCCATAGGGAAAAAAAAAAAATGGATGTTGTGTTATGGCTACAGTAAACCACAGAAAGTTTAAAGAGGTCCGTTCTTGGCAGCTGTGGAGGTGAATGTGAAAGTAACGCAGCTCGTATTACTGTCACATACAATCTGGTACACTTTAGCAGCTGCAGTGTGAAAACAACCGAACCAATTGAGAGAAATTCAGTGTTACAGAAACCCAGACTTTGGTGTGAACTTCCGCACACTTACGTTTCTGTACCGATACTGAATCTGACCTTTATGAGGTAGAAAATACTCTAAACCTCTTTATCCATTTGCCTCTGAAGGAATATTCATTTCTGAGTTCATTAATTTCCTAATTAATGTGGTTGACCTGGATTTTCCCTTTATAGCACAGAGATCAGGAACATTATACATGCATATCTGACCCCTGTCCTGGTCCTGTGGGTCGTCCAGGTGCTTTTGCAGAGAGCTGTTCGTTAATCCTGAAACTACTGAAATAAACAAAAACATCCATGTTTATTCTGGACGTTCGATATATTTTGGACACTCGTTTATTTTCTCTATATTATACATGTTCTTCTCTATCCAGAACCTCAGTCCCACATAAGTAAATCTTTTTTTTTAATATAAATATTTTTCTTCAGATATTTAATGTTGGTACTTCTTGTGTTCTCCACTAGGGGATGATAGAGATCCTGCTGATGACACACTTCAGTTTTTTGGACCTTCACATTCACAGCATTTGGCAGACGCTCTTATCCAGAGCGACTTAGAATTTGATCATTTTACACAAGTAGGCGAAGGCAGTGTTAGGAGTCTTGCCCAAGGACTCTTATTGGTATAGTGTAGGGTGTTTACCCACACAGGGGATTGAACCCCAGTCTACAGTGTAGAAGGTAGAGGTGTTACCCACTACACTACACCAACCTTTACAGCTACAAAAACTAAAATCTGAAGCTTCAGTCTTCAGCAACAAAACAATAGTTCTACATGGACTGTTATAGAAACGCTGAGATTATCAGTAGCTCAGTGTCCATCTACGTATCATATGTTTAAGCATATTTACCTATCAGATAATATTTGAAGGAAACAGCAAATTTTGAACAAAAATCTCCAAAAAAACTGTGTTTGAGAGAGATTAGTAGGTGTGAAAACCCTTTGAAAGGTTTTAAGTTAAATGTTTAAGTTAAATAAGGTTCTATAACTTTTTAAGGGTTTTTCCCAGACCAGGGGTCGGCAGTACACGTGGCTCTGGAGCTGCATGCAGCTCTTTTATTGCCTTGTTGTGGCTCCACAGCACAATTAGATTTTTAGGTGAACATAAAATTATCCTGCTTTGCAGTACAATAATCTGCTGATCGTTCACCATGATGATCACCGTAGCAACACAGACAACAGTCTCGCCTAGCTAGTGGCTAACCAAAAGAGATGATGAACAGACTCATTTGTATTTATAATCACTCCAGCTGGTTTCCTGATACATTTAATCTGCAGCGAGAGACTGACACATTCATGAAGCTGAAGTCAGTTTCTCATTCGCCAGCTTCTCGTTTGAATTTACCCATTCCACCTTAAATGGTGCAGCAGTTACATTCTGGCATCTCTGGCACCATTTAAGGTGGAATGGGAAAATCTGAACAAGAAGCTGGAGAATGAGAAGCGACTTCAGCTTCGTAAAAGTCAAATGTTGAGAGACATTTTAAATAAACTGTTCTACATTTGTGGAAAAGTTTCCTGCTGGAGATGCGAGAAAAGCAGCTATAGCTGTCATAAAATGTTGTGGCTCCCAAGGTGGTTTTTGTTGAAAGGACAAAGTGGCTCTTAATATTTAACATTTGGGTTGCTGACCCCTGACCAAGAAGTTCTTTACACTGGAGGTTCTTCACATTCTCACATCTCATTACCAAAATAGTTTTCTAATGATATGGTACCATGCAAAGAACACTTATGAAATGTTTAGTATTATAAATTATTAGTAATAACTGTACTGATACTAAAGCAACAGTCAGCAAAGACCTTCCATAATAATCAAGTTCCCATCACAGTATTAATCATAAGGTACCAAAAAGGGTTCTATGAAACACTTATGGAGAAGAACCACTTTTTTTGTTCCTTAAAAAGCCTTTCAGGGGATGATTCTATGAAGAACCATAATCGTAAATGTGATATGTGAGTGTGTACAATCTTTTTTTTTTTTATTTTAAAGAACTTAATAATTAATTATTAATTACTTAATAATTTAAATGTTCTAGACCAGTTAGAGTGCTTTTCCAGAACTGTAGGTTCAGATCCAGAGTTTATTCATGGGAGACCGTAACGTGAAATTTCAACATAGTGTAAAGGTTCTATACCAAATAAAGGTTTAATGGAAGCAACAAATATTAAATAAAAATCACCAGAACCGTACATCCAAACCAAGACCCCTTTAGGAACCTTTCCGTTTTACAGTGTATATGTATTGATAAATCTGTTTCTGAGCATTTCTGACGCTGCGGCTCGGTTCCAGAGATGAGCGCCTGTTCTCGGTTCTCTGTTCTGTGTTCTGATTGTGCTGTCGTATTAAGTGGTTGGTGTTTAGGAGTTGATGTGGAAGCTCTGGCGCTGTGGCTGTGAAATGTGACATAATTAGCAGTGGGTTCCAGCAGCGCGTGGGCTGCAGATATATCTGCCATTACTCTCAGTCCACTCTGGAGGAGAGCGAGTGACCAAGAACACAGAACAGAGAACAACTAACAAACACTACTGCGCCTGTCACACAAAGAATTAACCACTGATGGCATTTATACGGATCATTCTGCCGAACAGGTTCAGAGTCAGAGCTGAAAACACATTTCAGGCTTTTAACTGATCTTGGATTTTAGATTAAAATCCTTTTGCTTTGAGTGACTCTATACCTTAATTATGTGTATTTTATTAAATAATTGAACATTCCATTTTGTCACTACCAAAACAACCATAACACTACCCAAATTTTACCCAACGACAGTGTCCGTGTTTACTTGCAAAGGTTTTCGCTGATCCGATTGAATACATTCTGATTATAGATTAAGACTGAGGTGTTTATTCTCACTCTACCAACAATCTGATGAAAAATCTCTGTTTACATGCTCACTACAAGTAATCAGATCCAAAATTACATGCGTGCGTAGAGAACCACTTAGTGTAGACGTTACCATGACAACGAGCGTCACGTGAGTCCAGTCAGAGTGAGACGAGCAGCAGTGAGCAGTGCTTGTGTTTTTAATTATTTTAAAATGATGTCAGACTCAGGAAAACGTCCTTCACATGTCCTTATTAAAGAAGGCCGAGAGGAAGACGTCGTGTTCTGAGACACATAAGCTGGACGTCCGTCCCACCGCCGTCTTTTAAAGATCAGAGCATAAACTTCGTCTCCTCTGCAGACCAGTTTCTGCTCCGCCATGTTGAATGGTATAAACTTTCACTATGATGTGACGAACATGATCAGAACAGACTTAAACTTTCTGATAGGGAATGTAATCAGATACAGGCGTTTACACGGATATTATTATTCTATTTAACAGATTATTTACAGGATTACCCACCTTGTTCAATCGGATAGAAACTATACTATGAATGGCTTCAGTCGGACTAGTTTGTTCTGATTGAGGTCTTTACATGGATGTATTCTATTCCAATGCATGTGAACCTGGTTAATTTTAGCTCATTTTGAGCAGAACTCAAAAACACAGCCAGTACATGACCAGCAAACCCAGCTTTGAACAGCTGTACACACAATTTAACACACATTTTTATTAAAACTCAAAAACGTTTACTTAGTTGCAGGAAATGTGTGTTTTGGTAGTGACAATTCTTATGATTTTCAGACTTTGGAAAACATTTACTTCAAAACATGGGAACTGCTCACCATGTGGCCATAATCATTTTTTAAAATGTTTTTTTTCACTGCAAACTGCAGTTTGAACTAATTTGGTAGAAAGGTTCATATACAACACTACACACCCTCCCCTTAACACATATGGTTGGTCAGCAACACAAAAAAGCATACCAGTAAAGCCACATTCAAATAATGCCATCATGGGCTGGAGGTGAGGGAACTAGCCTTGTGACCGGAAGGTTGTTGGTTCGATCCCCTGAGCTGACAGTACGTGACTGAAGTGCCCTTGAGCAAGGCACCTCATGCCCAACTGCTCCCCAGGTGCCGCAGATAGGGCTGCCCACCACTCTGGGCAAGTGTACTCACTGCCCTCTAGTGTATGTGCATTCACTAGTGTGTATGTGGTGTTTCACTGCATGGATGGGTCAAAATGCAGAGGTGAAATTTCCCCATTGTGAGACTAATAAGGGTCACTTAAAATATGGTTTTTGTTTATCATTTCACACACTGAACTAAATTCAATGAAACAAATTATGGGCCACTAATTAGACAACACCTTTTTATGTTGATGTTCATGGAGCATCGCAACTGAACAGCACTCCTCTGTGCATGTAAAATGGAAAAATGTGCTGACCGCCCATGAAAGAGCACCATAGGTCATCCAATACTGACCACACAACACTGAAGAAGCCTTCAGTCACACATCCAATATGGAGGAAGTCCGAGTTTGGGCTGTTTCTGAACTCCTGAATAGGAAGCTAACTTCACTAACATGTTGAAGGCATGTTGAGTGTGCATGCAGTTAGCAGCATGCTAATTGGTGGGGGATAAGCTTTCATTACTTGTTGGCTTATTTTAGCCTCACAGTGCTTAAACTAGCGTTTGTCTTAGCAGATCAACTGCATTTGGATAAGGAGGACATGAGATTTAAGCTCCCTCACAGCCTGCTTGACGTATTTAAGCAGTTTAGCAATTTCACAAGCACATTTAAGCCGGGTGCGTGCATGCAGTTAGCACCATGCTAATTGGTGGGGTATAAGATTTCATTACTTGTTAACTTATATGAGCCTCCCAGTGCTAAAACTAAAGAAGTTTCAAACGTGTCTTAGCAGATCAACTGCATTTGGATAAGGAAGAAATTAGATTTTTCACCAAACTATCGCTTTAAGCTTACAGTGTGCTTGTTGTGTTTAAGCAGTTTAAGTTTTTGATTAGGTTTTAATTAGGGAAGTTCTTGTATTGCATTCCAGACTCAGCAGTGCATTAGAACAGGGAGAGTTTCAGGTACCAGACCGCAGTACAGTACGTTCACGAGGTCCATTTTACTGCCGCCGAAGCTGAAATAAGAAACAGGTTTTAAACGTTCGTTTCTGACATTCATCCACATAAATGTATGTAAAAAGTGTGGATGAATGAAGTGCATTATTCCGCGCGCGGCGCCGCAGAGCTGTGGGCTCCAGGCGGGAATAAAAGCTCAGATGGGTTTGTGTGGGCTGAAGTGCGCAGTGAAAGGGAACGCAGTTGAAAATGAGAAGTAGAGGCTGGTGCTTGGTTGTGTGGGCATGAAGTGGGTGGGCAGATTCTTTAGGATTCTAATGATATTTTCTCAGGTTTCTGTTCACTTTGTGCAACAGTTCTGCCTTTAAGACACATTTGTCGCTGTGTTTCTGTGCCTCCAGCCGGAGAACCTGCTCCTGGCCTCCAAGTCCAAAGGCGCCGCGGTGAAGTTAGCGGACTTCGGCCTGGCCATCGAGGTTGAAGGGGACCAACAGGCATGGTTTGGTAATGAATCAAACACATTTAATTCATTTTTCTCCTCTTTTCAGGGAACCTCTAACTGCGCTTCCTCTCTGGTGTGCAAACCTACAGCACTCATATCATAGAAAGACTCATTTTTCTTCCTTTTTTGAATATGAAGATGTATGTAAACAGGAAAACATTGTTCCCAAGTACATATGTGGAAACTAGACTGTACATATAGCCCAGTTTAAATTCATAATAGTTCACGTCACAGCCATGAATGCAGCACAATAGAGGACAGCCAACCAGAACAGAGTTCATTTACATATATATCAGTCTTAAAGGCACAATAACAAAAATAAAAACACAGAAAATCTAAGGATTAAAGAAAGGTTGGAAATCTATCATGTAGAAATTAATTATGACTGTTTTTGCTACATAAAATCAAAAAACGTCATAAATGGACATTTAAAAAAAAAAAAGATCAGTTAATTCTGAATTATTCCATATTTATTATGAATCTTTCAGTATCTGCTAAGAATTATTCAGTATCCACTGTGAGTTCTTCAGTAACTACATACATACATACATCATCTTATCCTTCTGGGTCGCGGTGGGGTGCTGGAGCCTATCCCAGCTGTCATTGGGCGGAAGGCAGGATACACCCTGGACAGGTCGCCAGTCCATCGCAGGGTCTTCAGTAACTAAAATTATTCAATTTATTCAATAAATATGAATTATTCAGTATCTACTATGAAACATTCAGTAAATACACACTTGGTTCTTTAAATGGTTCTTTAAGGGTTCTTTAGTAACAAAAATAATTCTATATAGAACCATGAACACTCAAAAAAACCTTTTGCATGATTAAAGGGTTCCTTGCATCATTGACTTGTTCTTCAGACTGATGGAGAAAGTGTTGTAAATGGTTCAATGTAGCACCAAAGAGGGTTCTTCTATCAGAACTTACTTAAACATAACAACAGAAGAAACCTTTTTTGTGCCATTTACACTCTTAAATAGATGGTTCTTTACAGGTTCTTTACTAAAGAAAAGGGTTCTATATAGTACCATGGACACTCAAAGGACACTTTGATTAAAGGGATCTTTGCGTCATGAAATGGTTCTTCAGACTGATAGAGAACGAGACATATATGGTTCTATATAGCACCAAAAAAGGTTCTTCTATTGTACACAAGCTTGACATCACAACCAAAGAAGAACTCTTTTTGGTGTTATTTACACTCTTAAAAAAGATGTTTCTTTAAGGGTTCTTTAGTAAAGAAGATGGTTCTATATAGAACCACGAACACTCAAAGAACCCTTTACATGATTAAATGGTTCTTTGCATCATGAAAGCGTTCTTAAGACTGCAGATCGCAGAGTGCTGTAGATGGTTCTTTATAGAACCTTTTTGAAAATGGTTCTACATAGCACCAGAAGGGTTCTATTATCGTTACGATGTCAAGCCTGTAACACTAGAAGAACGCTTTTCGGTGCTATATAGAACCTTTTTCAAAAAACACATTCTCATGGTTCTATATAGAAGCTTTTTGAAAAGGGTTCTGTTGTAACAGGCTAGATATCATAACAATAAAAGAACCTTTTTTTGGTGCTATATAGAACCTTTTTCAAAAAGGTTCTATTTAGAACCATATACAGTATATTTTCCATCAATCTGAAGAGCAATTTAATGATGCAAAGAACCATTTAATCATGCAAAGGGTTCTTTGAGTGTTGATGGTTCTATATAGAACCATTTTCCTTTCTAAAGAACCCTTGAACAATCATCTTTTTTAAGATTGTACAATGAGTGAGAATTTGTTAAACTGTCGTTGGGTTCAGCTGCAAGTGTTACCGAACACAGAGAACATCCTCGAGTACTGTACACCAAATCCCATAAAACTGGAACCTTCAGTGCAGATTGCCAAGGGAAAAGGCACAGTTCCACTTTTCTGGTTCCAAAGGTTCTGCTGCACAAAGCAGCAGAGAAACACCTTTAGAGTTTAATGGCTTAAAGTGAATTTCTTTGTAGCGATGCTTCAGCAGCTTATATGCGACAGAGAACCAATGCAGTGAGAAGCGTGTTTATCATTTTATTTATTTATAAATTCCGGATTTATTTATGAATTCCGGAAACAGAGACATCCCTGTTTTCACTGTCACGGCATCTGTCCAGACTCATTAGAGTTCCTGCTGTTTCCCATCACTGTCTCGCTGCTAAAACTAATAGAGTGCCAGCCTGTAACGACTTCCACACCAGCCCCTCAAATCAATCACCGCTAACCTGACTCGTCCCCACAGAGAGAGAGCCTGTGTGTGCTGCCATGGACTCAGACTGCCCTCTACAGCCGCCAAACGGTCATTACACTGCAGATACATACAGATACATACTGTTCCAGTATGTTCAAATTCAGCTCATTTAACCAGGCCTGATTATCTTCTAATAATAATAATATACTAATATAATAATATACACTGATCAGGCATAACATTCTGACCACCTCCTTGTTTCTACGCTCATTGTCCATTTTATCAGCTCCACTTACTATATAGGTGCACTTTGTAGTTCTACAGTTACAGACTGTAGTCCATCTGTTTCTCTGATACTTTGTTAGCCCCCTTTTACCCTGTTCTTCAGTGGTCAGGACCCCCATGGACCCTCACAGAGCAGGTACTATTTGGGTGGTGGGTCATTCTCAGCACTGCAGTAACACTGACGTGGTGGTGGTGTGTTAGTGTGTGTTGCGCTGGTCTGAGTGGATCAGACACAGCAGTGCTGCTGGAGTTTTTAAACACCTCAGTGTCACTGCTGGACTGAGAATAGTCCACCAACCAAAAACATCCAGCCAACAGCGTCCTGTGGGCAGCGTCCTGTGACCACTGATGAAGGACTAGAGGATGACCAACACAAACTGTGCAGCAGCAGATGAGCTATCGTCTCTGGCTTTACATCTACAGGGTGGACTGACAAGGTAGGAGTGTCTAATAGAGTGGACAGTGATTGGACACAGTGTTTAAAAACTCCAGCAGCACTGCTGTGTCTGATCCACTCAGACCAGCGCAACACACACTAACACACCATCACCACGTCAGTGTTACTGCAGTGCTGAGAATGATCCACCACCCAAATAGTACCTGCTCTGTGAGGGTCCATGGGGGTCCTGACCACTGAAGAACAGGGTAAAAGGGGGCTAACAAAGTATGCAGAGAAACAGATGGACTACAGTCTGTAACTGTAGAACTACAAAGTGCACCTATATAGTAAGTGGAGCTGATAAAACGGACAATGAGTGTAGAAACAAGGAATGAATAACCTGAAATAGCGGTTACGTAACTGTTACAGCACCTTCCCACTAATGAGGAATATCATTTGCGTTTTTGCAGCTGTAACTTCTGTGAATATTATTCGAATAACTCTCACAGTTTTGCACCATGCAGGAATATGACTTTCAATATATTCCATGAAAGATTTGCTCCGGTTTCCGGAAGCTGCAGGCGGCCTCGTAACTGCAGGAGTGATTCTCAGTCAAGCTGCAGTTAACATGGTGACCATCTAGAGGATGTGATTATGTGTGATTAACAGGATCAATTATGCCACATTGATCTTCATATGATGGGTATGATCTGTACTAAACACTAAAAAGAGATGGTTCTTCAAGGGGAATCATTCTATTTAGAACCAGGAGTTCTATATAGAAGTATTTGCAGGCTTAAATGGTTCTTTGCATGGTGAAATGGTTCTTCAGATTGATGGAGAATGTGTTGTATGTGGTTCTATATAGCACTGAAAAGGTTCTTCTATTGTTACAAGCTTGACATCACAACAACAGAAGAAACCTTTTTGGTTCTCCAAGTGTTCTTTAGTTAAAAAAAGGTTCTATATAGAACCATGAACATTTAAAGAACTCTTGGCATAATTGAAAGGTTCTTTTTGTCATGAAATGGTTAAAATGGTTGGAGAATGTGTTATATGTGGTTCTATATAGCACCGAAAAGGTTCTTCTATTGTTACAAGCTTGACATCACCACGACAGAAGAACCCTTTTTGATTCTTCAGGTTTTCTTTAGTTAAAAAAAGGTTCTATATAGAACCCTGAACACTCAAAGAACTCTTTGCATGATTTAAGGGCTCTTTTTGTCACAAAATGGTTCTTCAGACTGATGGAGAATGAGACATATATGGTTCTATATAGCACCAAAAAGGGTTCTGCTATTGTATACAAGCTTGACATCACAACAACAGATGAACCCTTTTTGGTGCTATTTACACTCTTCAAAAAGATGGTTCTCCAAGGATTCTTTAGTAAAAAAGGTTCTATATATAACCATGAGCACTCAGTTGATTAAAGTGTTCTTTGCATCATGAAAGGGTTCTTTAGGTTATAGATCACAGAGTGCTGTAGATGGTTATATATAGAACCTTTTTGAAAAGGGTTCTATATGGCGCCAAAAAGGGTTCTGCTATTGTTATGCCAAGTCTGTAACAATAAAAGAACCCTTTTTGGTGCTATATAGAACCCTTTTCAAAAACACTTGCACACTGCTGTATGTCTATGACAGTTATGCTCAGCTCAAGAACCATGTAGGAACCTTTTAAGAGTGTATATTAAAGTCATACAAACCAAATTAAACCTGTATTAATGATATCTCTTCCAGACATCATCACAGCAGGACAGTAAAAGCTAATTTAATAAATGTGCACATGTCATTTGCAATAAAAGACAATATAAAATGTGTCTGTAATATCTCTGAATGTCAGCTGAGAGAGTGGCTCAGTCCATAAAGTGAGATTTACATGTAACTAAATAACTTAAGTCAGAAATTCAGACCGAGAGAAAGAGGTTTGAAATCCACCCCCCAGGTAACACACCTGTGTGCAGGCCATAATGTCCTGTTTATGCTGTTCCAGGCTTCGCTGGCACACCTGGTTACCTGTCACCTGAGGTGTTACGGAAGGACCCGTATGGTAAAGCAGTGGACCTCTGGGCATGTGGTGAGGCTTTATTTACAAATATACACATATAGAAACTCATACATACAGTCAACATACACAATCATACTTTGCAGGGTTTAATTAAAATATTACAGCGTTTATAATAAAGCGATAGTTCAACCATGCATCATATTTCAAGTCAAGTCAAGGCTTTATTGTCATTCCAGCTCTATACAAGTACACAGTGAAACGAAACAACATTCCTCCAGGACCAACATGGGAACACAAGTGCGAGACAATACAATAAACACAGTGCAGACAATACAGTACAATAAATACACGGTACTGAGAGTACGTGGAGCTGTGCAAAGGATGATGTAATATACTATGACATATTAGCAGCTTAGCGGATAGCCTAGCATATATGAGCATATATTTACACATTTTTCTACTTCCCACAAAATGTAATCAGCTAGTCAGGATGTTTTCAGTGATCGTACTTCTTTAATAGTATTAATAACAATAATTACTATAATACCTTTTATTTTTACCTATTATTTTATTTAATTACACTGGGGCTACAAAGCTAATGTTGCTAAGAAGTAACAAAAAGACATGATGCTGTATCAGCCTCGCAGCTCCATTGGTGGGGGGGGGTTCTTTGGGGCTTTGCACAGATGTTCTGCTCTGTCTCTCTTGTTGGCGTAATGCTGAGAGATAAGTGTTTTCCTAGCATGAGTTCAATTATGGGCTGATTAGTAAACAGCGTGAGTTTGTGAATGTTTGATTGTATTTTTGAACACTTTCAGTCATTGTTTCCAGTCTCTTATCTGCTAAAGTAAACAGAACTGTAAATAGTGGCTGTTTCAAATGACCATAATAAATCTCCCATGTGGGCTACAGGTGGTGCCATTGTACATCAATGTCTGTTCTCAGTGTGCTACCATATCAGAGCACAACTTGACTTTTTCACGTCTTTTACACTCTTCAGTGTTGTATTATGAGCCTACCTTATGCTTCTACTAACTGACCACTTTATTAGAAACCCCTAGCTTGTACATCCACTAACTGACCACGTTGTTAGAAACACCTGCCTTGTACTTCACTGGCCACTTTATTAGAAACCCCTACCTTGTACTTCCACTCACTGGCCACTTTATTAGAAACCCCTACCTTGTACTTCCACTCACTGGCCACTTTATTAGAAACCCCTACCTTGTACTTCCGTTCACTGGCCACATTATTAGAAAGACCTGCCTTGTGGTTCCACTCACTGGCCACTTTATTAGAAACACCCACCTTGTACTTCCAGTCGCTGGCCACTTTATTAGAAACACCTACTTTGTGCTTTCATTCACTGGCCACTTTATTAGAAACCCCTACCTTGTGCTTCCATTCACTGGCCACTTTATTAGAAACACCTGCCTTGTACTTCCACTCACTGGCCACTTTATTAGAAACCCCTACCTTGTACTTCCGTTCACTGGCCGCATTATTAGAAAGACCTGCCTTGTGGTTCCACTCACTGGCCACTTTATTAGAAACACCCACCTTGTACTTCCAGTCGCTGGCCACTTTATTAGAAACACCTACTTTGTGCTTCCATTCACTGGCCACTTTATTAGAAACCCCTACCTTGTACTTCCAGTCACTGGCCACTTTATTAGAAACCCCTACCTTGTACTTCCACTCACTGGCCACTTTATTAGAAACCCCTACCTTGTACTTCCAGTCACTGGCCACTTTATTAGAAACCCCTACCTTGTGCTTCCATTCACTGGCCACTTTATTAGAAACCCCTACCTTGTACTTCCACTCACTGGCCACTTTATTAGAAACCCCTACCTTGTACTTCCACTCACTGGCCACTTTATTAGAAACCCCTACCTTGTGCTTCCATTCACTGGCCACTTCTACTTGGTGCTCTGTCTGCCTTCTTACCAGTCCATATATAACTATACAGCCCGTGTTTGTTAGTTATAGTGTATTTTTGTTTTATTGGATAATGTAATAATGCTGAATCAATGTGTGCCTCTCACTTTGTCTTCTTGTCTCCTACTCCAGGTGTGATCCTCTACATCCTGCTGGTGGGATACCCGCCTTTCTGGGATGAGGACCAGCACCGACTCTACCAGCAGATCAAAGCTGGGGCCTACGATGTTAGTTCACTAAGATTTGTCTCTGTGGTTGTTTGATTTGGTGTTGAAGAAAATAAATAAGTGAAACATGCTTCAGTTCCACCACCATCAGAGCAGGTGCTGTAGCAACTTTTCTCATGAAGCTAGATTTGTTTAGTGAGCTAACTTTGAACTTAGTTTGATCTAACCATTGATTTACTGTCTCACTAAGGAGGATCACTTTTTATTGGGCTATGTATCCATGGCAACTATGTGCACATCTGACTTCCGGGTGTACAGTTTTGGTTCAGGATTACAAATTGTAAACAGCTCTTGGACCAATCAGGCCCTTCTGGTGGACCACAGGGGTCCAAATGTCTAGTGGACCAGTCAGGGCAAACCTTCTTGTGGACCAATCAGGGCCAGCCTTCTAGCTAATCAGGGCCAACCTTCTGTCAAGTCAGGGGCAGCCTCCTGGTGCACTTATCAGGGAGAACCTAGTGAAGCAATCAGGGCCAGCCTTCTAACTAATCAAGGCCATCCTTCTTTCCAGTAAAGACAAACTTGTGGTGGACCAGTGAAGGTCAACCTTCTAGCTGACCAATGAAGGCCAACCTTCTGGTGCACCAGCCTTCTGACCAAGTCGTCAGCTAATTTGTTTTATAGTACAATCACAATCAAGAAACTAAGAGCGGAACGACACAGTAACCACCAAGCCGCCCATTCCTGATGGAAAAACCTTGTGAAGATCTTGATTTTGGGCAGAGGTGATGTTAGCTAGTGAGGTAGTTCATGTTTTTCGTCACATATGCTACCAACATTTTATTTGTGTACTTCCTAATCATAAATAAACACTTTTATGTGTGATGTATTTAATTAGTCCTGCTTTCCAGACAACTTCATCACCCCACACACTCTGCAGTGGAACTGAATCACGTTTCAAACAGAACTCATATCTACAACAAACCAATCACAGCATAAATAGGAGCTTCAGTGTGATCTTTGTGGATAATGAGTAATAAAACAGAGAGACACAGAGAACAATGTCAGCCTGTTTTTGTGTAGTTAGTGCAGAAGGACATGCACATGAAAATCAGTCATATATATATATATATATATATATATATATATATAAAAGCGAAATTACACTGAAATATACAGTCTGTAATAATAAAACCCTCAATGCATCAACTACTATTCAGAAAGATGCTGAAAATTTCATGTGGAGCATTTTTAATCATCAGAATAATTGTTTTAGCTCACAATGATACCGCATAGCTAGAATGTGACACATTTTAATAATACTTATAATAGTCATCATCATCATCATTATTTCTATTTATATAAGTGCTTTTTGTTAAGAACAATGTGGGAAATAAAAACAAATAAATAAAATTTGAAATTTAACTGAAAATTTAAAGCTAAATGAGATCTCTGAGATAAATAAAGTGTGTTTGTATGTATATCGATTAGATAATACGATAAATATATAATCTAAGCTATTTTGTCTCTGTTTTTGTGACGTGATGTTTATTTTTACATTTCTATACTCTTCTATATAGTTTCCCTCTCCTGAGTGGGACACGGTCACTCCGGAGGCCAAAGACCTCATTAATAAAATGCTGACCATCAACCCTGCCAAGCGCATCACTGCGGCCGAGGCCCTGAAGCACCCCTGGATATCAGTGAGTTGACTCTATCACCACTGTTCAGTAGGAAGATGTGCTCAGTTTCTGCTACTTTGGTTAAGGAAGAGCAACATTGCTGAACTGTAACTCAGCTAACTCTCCCTGTATGTTTTAGACTGTTTAAAATGGTCTAGTTTTAAAAAAAGTGATTTGCTTTTCTAGTGCAGTTTACAGAATACTGCTCTGAACTGTGTGACCACAGTATTTTGCGCTCTGTATATTAAGACTCATAGGGCCTCATTCATCAACCGTTGTTAAGAAGAAATTTCTTCTTAAACCCACTTACACAATTTTTAGGAAGACTCTGACATTCACCAACGAATTTCCTAGCACTTAATAATCCATTAACTGCAGAAAATCTGATTTTGTCTGTAATCTGATCAACGTGTTTATATGCACTTGAGTAACCAGATAATGGGGAAACTCTGGGTCTACAAGAGTCAGACAGTAATCAGATTTCTGTTTTGCAACCAGCCAATAAATCCACAGAAGAAGACGAGACGTAAACATAACGTAAAACTCAAACTAAAAAAATCATCGCAGCACTTTACCTGAAAATATGAACACACATCATCTAGAAGATGAAGAAAATGTAAATCCTTCATTTCGTCAAGCATGTATTTTGTTTCACCGATGCTCCAAAAGTGTTTTGCTGCGTCTCGTGGCGGCGCTGCTCGCTTATTTCCGGTACTGCTGTCTGTTTTCACACATACTCAGACTGAGAAATCCGAAAGAAATCAGAGTAAGAGTTTCCATGCACTGAGAAATCTGATTACTGAGCTAAAATCCTCTTTATCAGATTTCTTAATCGGATTTCATGATGTTTACATGACCATTTGAATAATCAGATACCTGCAGAAATCCGATTATGATCAGATTATTGAGTGCATGTAAACCCACCCAGTATTTCCTTATCCGGGATTTGTTCTTAGGTAAGAACAGAATCTACACTCACTCAAGAGCACAAAGGTGAGAACAGTTCTGCGCTTTAAGAACATGACATGAATCTGATGTAGACGTTTTCTTAGGACCTTTCTCAAGAATACATTAAAGAAAAAACTAAGGAACATATTGGTATATATGGTAATTCACTAGCATTGGTTTTAGAAAGCAAATCAATTGAAATTATTAAAGTATTAAGTATAAAATCTGGCAAATTTCAAACATAAAAATCTCTTCAAACCTTGGTGTTTTGGTTTTAGTGTCAAAGCTTTGCACCAAAAAAAGATGTTTTTTCATGGGTTCTTTGGTAAAGAAAATGGTGCTATATAGAACCATGAACACTCAAAGTACCCTTTGCATGATTAAAGGGTTCTTTGCATCATGAAAATGTTCTTCAGATTGATGGAGAACATGCTTTAGATGGTTTTTGAATGGGGTTCAATATAGCACTGAAAAGGGTTCTTCTATCATTACAAGATTGACATCATAACAATAGAAGAACCCTTTTTGGTGCTTTATAGAACCCTTTTCAAAAAGGTTCTTTGTAGAACTATATGCCACAGATTCTCCATCAATCTGAAGAACACTTTCAAAGAAACTTTTAATCATGCAAAGAGTTCTTTGAGTGTGCATGGTCTATATAGAGCCATTTATTTGACCAAAGATGTTGGTGTTTTGGTGTTTTGGTCTGTATTCCAATGCTATGTAAATAGTTCCTTCTTTCTATTTAACCCTGTTTATTGTGTATTTTTAATAGCCACTCTGAGTGGCACCAAAATAATCAAATTGAGCTAAAGATTCCTGACACTCTAAATCATTAAATAAACAATCATAATCGCTTCATTGACGCTCTGGTCATTTTGCCTTGTATTAGTAATGATCACACAGGAGAGTTTTTACTATTTTATGACTGTATTATCATTTCACGTTTCTAACCACGTCGCTGTCTGACTGATCTTCTCCTCCAGCATCGCTCCACGGTGGCGTCCTGCATGCACAGACAGGAGACGGTGGAGTGCCTGAAGAAGTTTAACGCCCGGAGGAAGCTGAAGGTGAGGAGCTGTAATGTAGAGGAGAGTTAGTCACGGTCACAGCATGACTCACTCTGTGAAGTATAAGAGCTGCTGCTTCCTCCTGTAGAGCTCTGGGCTGTTGTGCAGCCTGCTGTGGGCTCTGCTGGACCTGCGTTCTACGATTAAGATTAAGTGAACCTTATTAGTCCCACAATGGGGAAATTTCATTTTTACCCATCCGTGCAGTGAAACACCACATACACGCTAGTGTGTGTGCAGACACACTAGGGGGCAGCACACTTGCCCGGAGCGCTGGGCAGCCCTATCCATGGTGGCCGGGGAGCAGTTGGGGGTTAGGTGCCTTGCTCAAGGGCATTTCAGTCACATACTGTCAGCTCAGGGGATCGAACCAGCGACATTCCGGCCACAAGGATGCTTATCTAAACTCCAGACCACAACTGCCCCCCTCCAGCCCATGACTGCCCCTAACAGTCGAGTGGCGTTATTGCACATGCACACATCACTAGAATAGTATAGTACTTTATAGTAAATATAGTATAACACTTTTTTTTCATTTTATTGTGTTTTTAATGTTAATTAAATCAAACTGTATGTTGCTCTGGCTAAAACCGTCTGTCAGACACTGTAAAATGATGACACCTGAAAACACAACATCCCGCTTCATACACAGACTTCAGCAAAATGACTGAAGCAGAAATGACAGTCCCGGCGAGCACGCTGACACCATCTGTACACTTTTTACAGTTTAAAAAATGATGAAATCTTTCACAAACCACAGACAAAGAGCAAAGAATAACTCAAAATAATGAGAGATTTTTGAAGAGAAGACTAACCACCAAGCAAAAGCTAACTTATCAAGTGTAACTGCGCTTTTATTACTCCGCCAATGTGTTTAGTTCTGCTTTAAGGGTGTGGCAGACTGGATGTGTAGGGCTGTCAATCAACCATACTCATTAGAATATTAGGCCACACCCAGACAGTTCTCAGATAAGTCTGATCAGCAGTATTTAAGCTGTTATATCAGATTCCTTTTTTGTTTCAAACTTTGATTCATGTCTAATATAACACTCAGTTTACATTTTACAGATGCAAACATGTTTACACTTTTAATATGGGATTTAACCTTTTCTAGATCAGTGTACCAGTACTGGCACACTTCCGTCAAAACATTCACTTCTGCTTTTTTATACATCTTTTTATGCATCAAATCGTCCAGCAATACAGTGATGTAATATATCATTAGAAAGCTTGAAATCTCAAGATTTGATTCCCTCAAACCATTTTGTGATTGGTTATTCACAGCAGTTACGATCGTCTCATTTGCAACATAAGCACAGAAAAAGCAAACGCCAGCAAATCTGTGTATCCTCACCGTCAAAGTCTCGCCGCTCTCCACAGAGGCATCAAAATACAAAACATGTGGTCTGATAACACGGCAAGACTCAGAGATCAGTTTAGAGATCAGAGACTCATATATAAACTCCTCTGTTCCAGCCTCTGTTGCTCTCTGTCCGCAATTCATACAATTATTCTGAAAAAACTTGAGAGTGTTACCTTTCAAAAGAGACCAAGATCATGACTGTAGCCCAAAATATGTGTGAGCAGTGCAACTTTAACTACGGGTATGTTGTTGTAGTCAAAAATGGAGTGGCATTCAAAAGATTAATCAAAAGATTTTCAATATTCTCATATTCCAAGATTCTTCTCGGTATTCAACCAAAACTGAAAGTTATTGTACAGATACTTTTGGAGCTGTTAGTTCTGCTGTGTGACGTGTATCCTGTATTTTTATAGGGTGCCATTCTCACCACCATGCTCGCCACCAGAAACTTCTCAGGTATGTATAAATCATGTTTATTTGATTTTTTACAGCAACGATTGGACCCATGACTCCTTTGGTGGTCTCATTTACAGTTATCGTCTGTGTTGGTGGTAAAACGCTTTGTCCAAACAGCTTCCAAAGCAGACAGACATCACACAGCAGCAGAAGACCCTCCGCAGGCTTCAGCTACTCTAGTGATATCGTAGAGGTTTGAATTGAAGCTGAGCAGAGTGTTTCTTTGGGCTGTGAAGCAACATTTCAGTCTAGTAACTACAGCAGGATTAACAGGAAATAAAAAGCACTAGCAGATGTTTGTAAGGTATTCTCGTTTAGATCCTTACACCAATCAGGCATAACATTCTGACCACCACCTTGTTTCTACGCTCATTGTCCATTTTATCAGCTCCACTTACTATATAGGAGCACTTTGTAGTTCTACAGTTACAGACTGTAGTCCATCTGTTTCTCTGATACTTTGTTAGCCTTTTACCCTGTTCTTCAAAGATCAGGACCCCCATGGACCCTCACAGAGCAGGTCCTATTTGGGTGGTGGATCATTCTCAGCACTGCAGTTACTCTGACGTGGTGGCGGTGCGTTAGTGTGTGTTGTGCTGGTACGAGTGGATCAGACACAGCAGTGCTGCTGGAGTTTTTAAACACTGGGTCCCTGTCCACTCTATTAGACACTCCTACCTTGTCAGTCCACCTTGTAGATGTAAAGCAGAGATGATAGCTCATCTGCTGCTGCACAGTTTGTGTTGGTCATCCTCTAGTCCTTCATCAGTGGTCACAGGACGCTGTTGGCTGGATATTTTTGGTTGGTGGACTATTCTCAGTCCAGCAGTGACACTGAGGTGTTTAAAAACTCCAGCAGCACTGCTGTGTCTGATCCACTCAGACCAGCACAACACACACTAACACATCACCACCACATCAGTGTTACTGCAGTGCTGAGAATGATCCACCACCCAAACAGCACCTGCTCTGACCACTGAAGAACAGGGTAAAAGGGGGCTAACAAAGTATCAGAGAAACAGATGGACTACAGTCTGTAACTGTAGAACTACAAAGTGCACCTATATAGTAAGTGGAGCTGATAAAATGGACAATGAGCGTAGAAACAAGGAGGTGGTCAGAATGTTATGCCTGATTGGTGTATATTTTCATGTATTTAGATTGGAAAGTTTTCTCCTTCAAACAACATAGAATTGTATTGAATTAACAGTATGTGTATAATTTAACCAGACTTTTAGTGCTACAACTCACCCCTCAGTCTGTTACAGTTAATCTCACCTTTGGGGTAAGTTGTAAAATTTGGACTCATATCGCTTTCAGCTGAATTGTTCATAAACAGTAGCTGGAGACACAGTTTAGGATATCTGTTTGTAGCAGATATGTGCAGGCTGCTTGTATAAAATGTCTTAATCTTGCTCAAATACTTTCTAAAATATTTAGCAAAATAAACTAAATGCCCTACTTTCCCCATAGATGCTGAAAGACTGACCAGCAGAAGTCTCGTGAAATTGATGATATTGTCAAAAAGTGGTTCTGTTTTGTTAATTGAGGTAATATTTGCTGTCCTTTTCAAAAACATCCACAATGAAAATGAATCTAGGAGTGTGAGTGAAAGTAAGTCTTCTCAGTTTTGAGGTGAGGAGACTTTCACATACTACTGTCGCAACACTGCTGTTCTAGTTAGTAGAGAGCTTTTCTCTGCTGGTTACTGGGGAATTCTGTTATGTTCAGCAGCTGTGACCTTTCTTAGCCCTTGCATAGGCCAAATAACTCCAGCTCTAGCATGTGTAGCCGTTCTTCTGTTCCCCCTGGCCTGTTTAGCTTCTCCCTCGGTTGGACAGAGAGCAGATTTATGGTCCGTTTACATGTGGGGGCTATTTATACTGATTGACCAGTGCGGGCCTTGGATAGCTCTGCCCTTTCAGTTGTTAATAGCTCCTTCCTAGGCTATTAACTCTGACCATTATACTGGGGCAGAATGTGGCCACTGAGTCCTGCTCCTTGGCCGAGTTTTGGCTCTTAAAGCGATAGTTAGTATTGGGAGTGTAACATCAACATACTGCTAGCATATGGTGACAGACGGTTCAGGTTGTTGTTACTGTTTTAATGTACTTTAATCCTTTTTTATAGCTAAAAGTGTGTCATACAGCATCATAAACCACTTAGCAACTCAACAAGCGTTGAGACATGAAGCTGAAGTTGGCTTCCTGTTCAGCAGCTTCGTATTCAAATTTTCAGTCCTACCTTAAGTGGTTAGTTACTGCAGCACTATTTAAGGTTGAATAAGGAGCTGATGAATAGGATGCCAACTTCCCTAACAGGTCGAATGTAAAGAATTAGGCCAGCATGCTAATTGGTGGGGTAAGTTTCCATTACTTCTTAGCAACATTAGCCTCTTAGCTCCAGTGCTAAACCTGAAGAAGCACTAAAAACGCCAAGCATGTCTGGTGTGAGTGTGGAAAACCTTGCTAATTAAATTTTTTGCCAAACTGTCGCTTTAAATATAAAGTGAAGGACAATTTCTCCCCGGAGTGCGGAAGGGAAAACCCCCACACATGCAGCCACCAGCGGTCACAAGGCCAGGGCCCCGGGATCAAGCTACACTCAGCCGGCTAAATTTAGCGAACGTGTTGAAAAGAATATATGAGCGAGGGAAACACCCTGATATGACTTACAGGGAAAGAATTAAATAACAGGATGATTCTCTCAGCCAGAGGATACGTTTGAATGAGAAAGGCAGCCAGTTAAGTGGTGTTAATGAAAACGTTTCAGCCGCTGAAGCCCTCAGGAAGGAATGTGCCGATGGCTCAAGTGCTTCTATATCAGGGAAACCTCACTGTCTAGCCTCGCTGCCTTTCGGTGGACTGGACACTCTGGGCCTCTTCTGCTGGTGGGCATGGAAATTTGCATATGTGGATTGACAGATTGACATCTGAGACCTTCTGCAGAGCTCCTGCGTGTTGAGGTTTCTCTGCAGGCCTTCTGAGCGCTCGGCAGGAGAAGCTGGTGGATTTGCTTCGTTAAAGACTGGACCGAGGGAACGGAGCAGGACCATGCCCTTTGCCCTCCTTTTCTGGGCATTTATGCCATTTCTGATCGCTCTCTCTCTCTTTTTCTTTGTCTCTCGCTCAGGAGGAAAGAGTGGCGCCAACAAGAAGACAGATGGTGTGAAGGTAGGGGCACACGGGTGTTCACCACACTGTACAACTGAATCAGGGGTCAGTCGGTCAATCAACTCGAGGATATACCAACACCTTGTTTATTATATATGCAAATGTTTTAGACACCTGAGCACATTATTTAAAATTTATTCAAAATTTATCTGGGCAGTAAGTGTTTTGTGCTCAAAACATCTAAGCAAATAAACATTAAACAAACAATACATTAAAAAAAATGTTTTTAGAAAAGTAGATGATCTCTAGTGAGCTTGTTTGGGTCCAGATTTCTCCTGGACTCTTCCAGCATCACATGGAAATGTTAAATTACATCAGCAATTCCTGATTTAATTTAATTTAATGAAGTATTGGTTAGATTAACCAGGTTTTGGGGGGGTAACGGTAAACACTTGACTTTCTCGAGGAGAGCTTTGGAAATGGCTAAACAAACAATGTTAACATAATATCACAAATGGATTGTTTATTTGTTTGTATTTATTCTTTTTAACAAATAAATGCTTACTGCCCAGATAAACAGATGTGGCATATTGTCTAAGGTACAATAAAACTTTTCCAAATTACTGTATGGTGTGGTCAGATATGGCCGGTTCACTAAAACCTTCCAAAGAAAAACTTACATAGGATCTTAAGATGAACACTGTAAAGTTTATAATGGTGAACAACATAAAAAAAGTTTTCAAATTTTCTTTTCAGGAAATCTTCTTTAATTTCTTATTAGATTATCATTGTTTATTTTTGTTTTATTTTTAGGATCCCCATTAGCTGCTATCACGATAGCCGCTATTCCTCCTGGTGTCCAGTAGACATACTATACATTACAAAATAGTGCAATAACAATCAACGAAACAAGTCATACAAAATGATTTATCTTGTGGCCTAATGATTACATTCTGTAATTGAAGGGCTTTAGCTGTTATACTACTGCAGTTTAATTCATTCAGTGCCTGAAGACACACAGGAATGGAGGAAAAGCTGGATATAGCTATAGTAATGTGAGTAGTAATGTGTGTAGTAAGCCTTCAACTACAGAGGCTGTTTTGAGGTAGGACAAGTGTGAGGTTATTGATTAAGAACAATGCTAACACTTTACTGTAGGGCACAATTCATAAGGCTACATGACATGCACATAAGCTTGCCATGACAACTGACATAGCACTACATAAAAGTTTATAAATGCTTATTCCAATAGGCATCATCTGTCATAAAGGCTACTTTAGCTAACTTTGATCAAAATTGGCAAATACAACCTTTATAGCAAATGACGTCTGTTAGAATAGGCATTTATAAACATTTATGTAAGTCTATGTCAGTCATCATGACAAGCTTATGTAGATGTCATGTAGCCTTATGAACTGTACCCTACAGTAAAGTGTTACCAGAAAAAATTTAAGAACCTTTTTTTTACAAGAGTTTTTAAGGTTTGGAGGGAAAAAGCATTTAAGAAGATTTAATTTCTTAAGACACTTTCATGAACAGGAATTTCTCTAGATGCAATTGTCAACTGAAACTACGATAAGATAAATGTAAAGAAAGAAGTACAATTAAAGATCAAAAACCTTTGAATAAACTTCATTCAAATGGTACCACAGTTGCACATCAATGTTCAATCAAAATTTTGCATCAGCGTAGCTTTTGCCCTTCAGTTTACTTACACTAGATAGTAAATGTGGTCATATAGTACAGTCCATTATTTATTTGTTACTTATTTATAGTACATTTTTAGTGTGGAACTGATAAGCACATTTGAATGAAGTCTATTCATAGACACATGAGCATGAGATTGACTGTAACCTCATTAACTCTTATTAAGCCTGAGGAAGTGTGATTCAGTCTCCCTAACAAATGACTCTTCCAGAAGCTTCTGTCTGGCTGTGTCTACCTCATCCTAGCAACCACTAAAGCAAACTAAACCCACACCACAATTCCCACACCACGCCAGCACAAGTCACCAAGTGTACGCCTTCTGCCAACTGACCTCTCTATGCTTTTGTATGTTTTGTAGAACAGGGTGGACCCAGTTCATTTGCCATTTAGTTGTAGTGCTTAAAGGGAAAATGATCAATTCTGGTACTCAAGAAATCCATTTCCCCTTTTCTGTAATCTACTCATGTTTTCAGATTATTTACAAAAAAAGTAATGTTGTGAAGATGTGAAGTTTCCACTGTGTTAAATATCTCATAGATCAAACACTGATCCCCCATGTTGGTTACCCATAGATCAGCCAGCGATCACCACAGATTAACCACTGATCCCTATAGATGACCCAAGTAGATATCCCCCCACATAGATACCCATAGATCACACACTGATCCCCATCGATCCCCCAAGTACATTCCAGTGTATCCCTGACATAGATACCCACAGATCACCCCCTGATCCCCATAGATCCCCTGAGTAGATTCCCACATATCCCTGACATAGATACCCACATATCACCTACTGATCCCCATAGATCCCCCAGGTAGATTCCCACATATCCCTCACATAGATATCCATAGATCATCTTCTGATCCCCATAGATGCCCCAAGTAGGTACCTATATATTCCTCACATAGATACCCACAGATCACCCACTGATCCCCATAGATCCCCCAGAGAGGTACCTATATATTCCTCACATACATACCTGTAGATCACCCACTGATCCCCAAATAAATCCTCTAAATAAATATTCATATATTCCTTATATAGAAACCCATTAATCACCCACTGATGCCCCGTAGATCACTAATAGATCACTTATAGATCACCCATGTCACCTAACAATTTTTGTAGAGCCAAGTGTACCCAGTGTGAAAATGATACATTTGTCACTACTACTATGGAGGAATGAGTCTCTTCTTCCTCTTCCATAACATTTCCACTGTAATACATAACAATGAACATGACATTTCACACCTTTACAAAATATATACAAAGTTATTAAGATTACTGACGCCGAGCTGTGTTTTGGGGTAAATAATGCAGATTAGAGTGGTGATGGCAAAGACCAATGCACCATGGTGGAAATGCAGATTCACAGTGTAGGCATTTGTTTGGAATTGCTACTAGAACGGAACAGTGTCCAGAACCTTTATTAGTGGCACTGTCACTGACCAAACCGTGAGCCAGTGCTTCAGGAGAACACTCACACACATGCTCTGAAATGTCTGTGGTCTGTCCCTGTCGTGCCCTGGCCTCCGTCTCCATCCCATTCCGTGTTCTCCTGTCTAACCTTTTCTCGTTTCTTTTCCAGAAAAGGAAGTCCAGTTCCAGCGTCCAGCTGATGGTGAGTGTGTATACCCCTCTTCTCGAGGTCACACAGACCACGACTTTCCTTAAACACGGAAAGTTATTCCAGAACAGACGCCCCCTAGCTGTGAAAAACAAGCCAGCGCGTTCAGCAAAAAAAAACGTTGCTGTACTTCTGTATGGAGCTGGACTTTCTTTTTTTGTTTTTTTTGACTGTGAACATCTCATGTCTAACGTTACCCCAAACCCCTCGCGTTTCTGATGTGTGTGGGGTCACTGATGTACTGTAGCTGTTCCCTCTTTCCCCTGCGTCTCCGTAATCCAGCATCCTGAGGCCCACTAACGCTAAATAATAATCAAAGGAATCGATTCTTTTTTCGAAGGCGCAGGAGAGAAGATCCAGATTTTCCACACAGCTGCTTCCTGGCGAGGCTGAGGTTCTAGAATTGAGTGTTGAACCCTAAATCTGCCTTTGTGTGTTACTTACAGGAGTCCTCTGAGAGCACAAACACAACTATCGAAGATGAGGATACCAGAGGTAAGTGCTGCTCAGCACACTTTTATTTTGATATTCATTACTGAAAATGAAATTGGAATTTGTTTTGGTGAAATTTGTCTCCAACATAGACAATACAAATATAGAATATACATACAAATACAAATATTGAACGGAACATATATTTCGCCAGTATGTAAATTGAATCCACATGGTATTTACAACAACATAGATCAGGTTGGAGATCACTGTTCAGGGTGCAGGTGATCACAAACAAATCACCAATATCCACCCCACACGGACCCCTCAAAATTTCTCATATATCACCCATATAAAATCCCAAAAGGTCACTCATATACCTCACATTAATCCCTAAAGGATCACCCATTTATCCCTTACATAGATCCCCTATATATCTCCCAAATATATCACCCAGATATAAATTCTCTATACATCACCCATATATCCCCCACATACATTCCCTTAAAGATCACACACATATAGCCCTCATAGATCTCCCTTATATCCCCTATAGATTCCCCATGTTCCCCATATAGCCCCCTCATAGAGCCCCGCTGGTCATCCATATGTCCCCATTACGTTCCTTAAATCGATATCCCACATAGATCGCTCATTGATCCTTCATAGATCCCCTAAATTGCTCAGATCCCCCAAACAGATCCCTCATAGATCACCCACATATTCCCCATAGACACCCCAATAGATCACCCATATATCCATTACATAGATCACCCATATATACATTACATAGATCAGCCATATATCCCCCACATAGTTCCCTTATAGACACACCATATATCTCAACACAGATCCCTTGTAGATCACAAAAGTATCCCATACATAGATCCCCATAAAGATCTCTCATAGATCACCCATATGCCACACATAGATCCTGCATAAAGCCACCACATATCCCCCATATAGATCCCTTATAGATCACAAATGTATCTCCCACATAGTTCCCCAGTGCATCACCCATATATGACCCATATAGATCCTTACAAAGATCACCCACATATACACTCCTTGGCAAAAAAATGGGCCAATGTTAAACTTTTAACGGTCTTAACAAGAAATCTTTAAACTAACAGATGAAGTAATTTAATGTGGGAGAGCTTCTCCCTTTAGTTTCTTTACTTGTTGAAGTTTTGTGTATAAATCTGCAGACAACCTTTCACAGAAAGACGAGTCAGTATTTTTCAGCTTTAAACAGCTGGAAAACATTGCTGAGCTAGTTTCTGTTTAATGTGAGACCAAATATTCTCTGTAGAGTTTAAATCTGGACTCTGACCAGCCAGAACCATCAGTAAAAGCCATTATATTTTGGGCTTGGCACATTGTTTTACCCAGGAGTGTACTCTACATATCTCCCATATTGGTCCCTTATCGATCACCCAAATATCCCCCGCTTGGATCCCTTCACATCACTCACTGATATTACACAACACCAGCTACTCAAACCAGAGCCTAAACCTGCCAAAGTGTCTGAACTACCGCACTGGACAGGGCTCGCTGGTTTGTGTGGGCTATTTTGAGGTCAGTCTAACGATGTCAGTTCAGTGCGCAGCAGTGTTAGATTAAATGTAGCAATGTTCATATTTCAGCTTATATTTCAGAGGATCCTGAAACATTCAGTGGAAAAATCAATGTAGGACAAACTGTATTGGTTGTTGTATCCATCGCAGTGTTTTTCAATATCATATTTTATTTTACTAATAGAGAAGGACATTTAGTTTTGTTTGTGTATAATAAGTGCATGTGAAATATTCCTCTGGATGTTTGTATGTGAAAATTCAGTAATATTGCATGTATCATCTACAGTTAAAGAGGGTGTGCTGATCTGTTACCCTATTGATTGTTTACAACTTCATTTAAATTACTTGAGACCTATAAAATTGTAGCATATAAAACTTTTAATTAGATTGTATTTCTTCATTTAAGTATTCTTGTACTCAGGACGTCTCAGACAGATGCAAACCAGATTTGGTTGTACTTTACAGTTACAGTAAAGGTACTAGTTTATTAACTGATTGATTAGTAGTAACGTCTGAAGTGAAGTAGAGAGCGCTGTGTGGCTGTGAAGCTGGTTTGCTGTGGTTGTGTCTGTATGTGAAAGTGTTGCTGTGTGTTTGTCAGTGAGGAAGCAGGAGATCATTAAGGTGACTGAACAGTTGATCGAAGCCATCAGCAACGGAGACTTTGAGAGTTACACGTGAGTTTCAACCCCCCCGCCCCTTCTCTTTTACTCTTTCCTGCCCTGCATTGAAAAAAAATATCCTGAATTTACTTGATTCAAATGTGTATTCACAAATTCACTTTTTTGATTGTGTGTAAATTTTATACTTTTACTCATAAAATGTTTCTATTGTTTTGTTAAAAAGTAGTAGTTCATGTGACCAAAAGACTGAATGTAATGATAAATGATTAATTTAAGTAGTTAAATGGCCAGTGAGTGTAGATATGGTAGTGTGTTTCCAATAATATGGCCAGTGTGAGTAGGTATGGTTGGTGTTTCTGATAAAGTGACCAGTGTGTGTAGGCATGATAGGCATTTCTGATAAAGTGGCCAGTGAGTGTATGTATGATAAGTGTTTGTGATAAAGTGGCCAGTAAGTTTAGGTATGGATGGTGTTTCTGATAAAATGACCAGTAAGTTTAGGTATGGCAGGTGTTTCTGATAAAATGACCAGTAAGTGCAGATATGGTAATGCCCAGTGAGTGTAGGTATGGTAAGTGTTTCAGATAAAGTGACCAGTGAGTGCAGGTATGGTAATGGCCAGTGAGTGTAGGTATAGTAAGTGTTTCAGGTAAAGTGACCAGTGAGTGTAGGTATGATAGTCATTTCTGTTAAAGTGGCCAGTGAGTGTATGTATGGTAAGTGTTTGTAATAAAATGGCCAGGGAGTTTAGGTATGGCAGGTGTTTCTGATAAAATGGCCAGTAAGTTTAGGTATGGCAGGTGTTTCTAATAAAATGACCAGTAAGTTTATTTGGATCACAGAAGAAGACTGTAAGAATGAAAGTTGATGTTAGTGTTTCTGCAGCAGCAGAAACTCAAAGGCTTTATGGAGCAGGATCTGTTCAGGATCTCAGCTCAGAAGATGCAGCAGTACCTACTGATCAGCAGAGCTTAAAAGAATGGCTCAGTGAAAATTCTAATTACCCCCCACCCCAAAAAAACTCAAATGTAAGTAAGACATGCTTCTTTATTTTTAGCACTGGAGCTGTGGGGCTAATATAGCTAACGAGTAATGGAATGGAAGATGGCTGCTACTACTGTTTATAGCTGCAAAGCTGCATACTCAAAATGTTCACGGTAAAAATAAACATTCAATCCTTAAAGTCCGAGGTTACAAGTTTATGATATGAAAATATTTATACGACACTGAAATTGAGTCATATATCAAATATCCTGCAAATGTTAAACAAGAAGTGAATGTAATAAAACACAACTTGAAAAAATTTATTGAAACAGCACAGTGGAACAGTACAGCAGAACAGTACAGTGGAACAGCACAGCGTTTACACTGCAGAACAGCACAGCGTTTACACTGCAGAACAGTACAGCAGTACAGTACAGCTTTTACACTGCCGAACAGTAGAGTGGAACAGTACAACATTTACACTGCAGAACAGCACAGCGTTTACACTGCAGAACAGTCCTGCAGAACAGTACAGATTTATACTGCAGAACAGTACAGTATTTACACTGCAGAACCATACAGCATTTACACTGCAGAACAGTACAGTACAGTGTTTAGACTGCAGAACAGTACAGTGCTTACATGGCAGAACAGCACAGTGGAACAGTACAGCAGAACAGTGCACTGGAGCTGCACAGCGTTCACACTGCAGTACAGTGGAACAGTACAGCATTTACACTGTAAAACAGTACAGCACAACAGCACAGAAGGACTACAACAGTGGGGCTACAGTGAACAGCATTTACACTATGGAACAGTACAGCATTTACACTGCCAGAGAGTACAGCAGAACAGTACAGCATTTACACTGCTGGAGAGTACAGCAGAACAGTACAGCATTTACACTGCCAGAGAGCACAGCAGAACAGTACAGCATTTACACTGCTGGAGAGTACAGCAGAACAGTACAGCATTTACATTGCCAGAGAGCACAGCAGAACAGTACAGCATTTACATTGCCAGAGAGCACAGCAGAACAGTACAGCATTTACATTGCCAGAGAGCACAGCAGAACAGTACAGCATTTACATTGCCAGAGAGCACAGCAGAACAGTACAGCATTTACATTGCCAGAGAGCACAGCAGAACAGTACAGCATTTACACTGCCAGAGAGCACAGCAGAACAGTACAGCATTTACACTGCTGGAGAGTACAGCAGAACAGTACAGCATTTACACTGCTGGAGAGTACAGCAGAACAGTACAGCATTTACATTGCCAGAGAGCACAGCAGAACAGTACAGCATTTACACTGCTGGAGAGTACAGCAGAACAGTACAGCATTTACATTGCCAGAGAGCACAGCAGAACAGTACAGCATTTACATTGCCAGAGAGCACAGCAGAACAGTACAGCATTTACACTGCCAGAGAGCACAGCAGAACAGTACAGCATTTACATTGCCAGAGAGCACAGCAGAACAGTACAGCATTTACACTGCTGGAGAGTACAGCAGAACAGTACAGCATTTACATTGCCAGAGAGCACAGCAGAACAGTACAGCATTTACACTGCTGGAGAGTACAGCAGAACAGTACAGCATTTACACTGCTGGAGAGTACAGCAGAACAGTACAGCATTTACACTGCTGGAGAGTACAGCAGAACAGTACAGCATTTACACTGCTGGAGAGCACAGCAGAACAGTACAGCATTTACATTGCCAGAGAGCACAGCAGAACAGTACAGCATTTACACTGCTGGAGAGTACAGCAGAACAGTACAGCATTTACATTGCCAGAGAGCACAGCAGAACAGTACAGCATTTACATTGCCAGAGAGCACAGCAGAACAGTACAGCATTTACACTGCCAGAGAGCACAGCAGAACAGTACAGCATTTACACTGCTGGAGAGTACAGCAGAACAGTACAGCATTTACACTGCCGGAGAGTACAGCAGAACAGTACAGCATTTACACTGCCAGAGAGCACAGCAGAACAGTACAGCATTTACACTGCTGGAGAGCACAGCAGAACAGTACAGCATTTACACTGCCAGAGAGCACAGCAGAACAGTACAGCATTTACACTGCCAGAGAGCACAGCAGAACAGTACAGCATTTACACTGCCAGAGAGCACAGCAGAACAGTACAGCATTTACACTGCTGGAGAGTACAGCAGAACAGTACAGCATTTACACTGCCAGAGAGCACAGCAGAACAGTACAGCATTTACACTGCCAGAGAGCACAGCAGAACAGTACAGCATTTACACTGCCAGAGAGCACAGCAGAACAGTACAGCATTTACACTGCAGAACAGTACAGTGGAACACTACAGCATTTACATTGCAGAACGGTACAGTATTTACACTGCAGAACAGTACAGCATTTACACTGAGGAACAGTGCAGCATTTATCCTGCCAAACAATACAGCAGAACAGTACAGCATTTACACTGCAGAACAGTACATCATTTACACTGCAGAACCATACAGCATTTACACTGCAGAGCAGTACAGTGTTTACACTGCAGAACAGTACAGTGCTTACATGGCAGAACAGCACAGTGGAACAGTACAGCAGAACAGTACACTGGAGCAGCACAGCGTACACACTGCAGAACAGTACAGTGGAACAGTACAGCATTTACACTGTAAAACAGCACAGCAGACCTACACTGGAAATCCTCATCGATCATGTTCATTTTACTGTTGTGATTGGCCAATCATTTTAACCCTGTATATACCTGCTGGAAAATGCCTGTGTAGCATAGAACGATTAACTTAGCCATGCAGAAATTTCTGTCACTCAATGTACTTTGAACATGTATATTTTGTTCTTACAAGAGCAAGATTAAGAAAACACAGATTTAGGTTCTGTAGGGCTTTAAATAGACCCAAGATATAGTTTAAACATAACACAAAAAAGTGTGTTATTTATCATATCCTTTTTTAGGTGTGTGTTAATGTCCTTTAGTCCATGTTTATAGATAACAGTGAGTCATACAGAGTCAGAAACCACAATCACATCTATAAGACATCACTGAACAACTACTCATGGTATGAGGTGATTATGTGGTGATTTAGGTATGCAGTTAGCACAGTGCTATATAGTGGGATATAAGCTTCCATTACTTGTTAACTACATCAGCCTCAAAGCTGCAGTGTGAAATCCATATAAGAGGATTTTTCATTGAGTTATTACTTTAGATTTGTTAGAAGGAGATGAGAGTGGTAGGTCCTGTCTGTTGGGGCTTCTGAGCTGACTCAGTTTCTAGCTGAAGTGGCTGAGTGTTCTCTCTGTCACACAATAATGCCCTTGAAAGTTTTCAGAATGGTTCAAAGGGTTCCTGTCTCAAACATTAACTCACCCTGGCTCTCTCACTCTCTCTCTCTCTGTGTGTGTGTAGGAAAATGTGTGATCCGAGTGTAACGGCCTTCGAGCCTGAAGCTTTGGGCAATCTGGTGGAGGGGCTGGACTTTCATCGCTTCTACTTTGAGAACTGTAAGTCCTTGTGTGTTATTCTAACCTGTTCAAACCTTTCAGTATCCAGTCTAGACTGGATCAGGAACAGCGGAAATACCTTTGACCCCTAAGACTCCTGAGAATGTTTAAGAAATAAAAATAACAGAGAAAAGCTGTATTTTATGCCTTTAGTACCTACTGTAGTTCAGTAGTTACTGGAAAATTAAGAGCAGCCAATGAACAATTCCTAGTAGATGCTGAATATTTCATAGTGGGTACTAAATAATCAACAGTAGATAGATACTGAATAATTCATAGTTTAAGCTGAATCATACGAATTAGGTACTGAATAATTCATACTGGGTACTAAATAATTCACAATAGATACTGAATAATTCATAGCGGGCGTTAAATAGTTCGTTGCATTTACTGACTACTTCATGGGAACTGAATAATTTATAGCAGATACTGAATAATTAATTGTGGGTACTAAATAATTAATAGTAGATAGATACCGAATAATTTATAGTGGCACTAAATAATTCATAATAGATACTGAACAATTTATAGCAGATGCTGAATAATTAATAGTGGCTACTAAATAATTAATAGTAGATAGATACTGAATAATTTATAGTGGCACTAAATAATTCATAATAGATACTGAATAATTTATAGCAGATACTAAATAATTAATAGTGGATACTAAATAATTCGTAGTAGATACTGAATAGTTCAGTAAAAGTTCTAATGCTGTTGTTGTTGGTCAGTGACGTTCTGCTCTGGAATGTTCTTTTCTGGTCATTAAACTATGGCTGTTTCTCAAGCACAGAGGCTTACTGGTAAGCAGCCATTGCGGAGACAGTGGTCAGCCTCGCTCTCGGTGTGTACTGATTATAGACTGGGCTGCTGTTTACAAATAGCAAACATTTGTTTGCAAATGGCGCACAGTGGTTTCATGCTGTGGTTTCATATCTCTTGTCGTGTGTAACTGACCCCTTTCATAAGGCCTGAATCAGAGGCGTGAGGACCTGTGAGTGGGCAGAGCTCTCAGCTTTAATTACTCACTGTGACAAACTGTGCATTTCTGAATGACTAATTTATATATTTAGAGTCTTCACCTAATAATTGGAATGGAATTACTGGCATCAGCTTAAACTTGTGGTACAAAAGTAAGTAAGTAAGTGTGTTATCGCGAAATAAGATCACAGCTGTGGTTTGGTCGCCGTAGATCGTCACAGCCAGGATGTTATTCACGATAACACACTCCTCGAGTGTTCTATTGCTTTTATACAACAGTTAAATAAATAAAGTAATAAATTAATAAACTGGGCCGTGAACGCGGCGTTTAATATGTTTTAATGTTCGCAGTTCCTTCACCAAATTATAGTTCCTTAACAAGCAGCTTGTTGCTACGTCAGAGTAATGAACTCTGCTCATTCGCTGCTCAGTCTGCTGTAAGCCTCGCCTTTTGAAGTACGGACTGAGCCATAAAACTGCTGCAATATCAAGTTCAGCTCAGTTTTGTCAGTTTTTGCCAGATCAGTATTAATGTTGTTTTGTTCCAGCCAGTCTGTAAAGCATCTTACAGCCCGTTTAGTTTGGCGAATGGTGTTGGGTTCATTTCTGGCTGATTCCAGGTTGTTTAGCTGTTCTTCTGTCTCAGCTGCCGACTGAAAAGCTGCTCAGTGGTGATGACAGTTTGGGAATTTAGTGTCGTCTCATCTTCAGAGTCTGACCAAATCGGCTGTCGGTCAAATGTGATCTTAAAAGTGTCCATTTTCTGTTTGTGGCAAAGTAAGAAGTAAAATGTTCAAATGGCTTGAGCGTCTCCTACAGCTGTCAAAGTCGTTGCTTAGCAACAGCATCTCAGCAGAGTGATACAGTGTTCAGTGTCTCAGCAGAGTGAAACGTGCTGTTATGGTGAAATAACAGCTTAGAACGTATCTCAACCAATCAGCTTGCGTGGCCAGAACTAACTTCTGGTAAAGAATGCTGGGTAATATGCAAGGTTATTATTATTATTGTTGTAATAACCTTTTATCAACTGTTATATCTCCCTCTCTGCATGCGTTTCAGTGTTAAATCCGCAGTGTTACCGCTCTACATACAAGTTTGATTGGTCCCCACTCAGTTCATTTGCATAAAGCTCATCTAGAACGACAGAGCGGAGAGATGATGTGCATCAGCACTTTGAGGTGTTAGTTAGACTATTTTTATATATTGTTATCTCTGGCCTCATTGTAGCATCATATGACATGTTCTGTTTGATGAAAACTAGCAAAATGAATGAACAAATAAATAAACAAATAAAGGCAAATCATTTGTGCATCATGTCATCGATCACGTAGCATATATGCAGCTTAAATTTCAGCACCCCTCAGGTTTCGTCTAATTGTCTTGCCCGTACAGTTTCATTGAAATCAGGCTGACCAGTCGGAGCTCTATCGTCACTGATGCAGTCCAAGCAAACGTGTGCCAAGGTGGCAAACACGCTGAATATAAAAATGCAGAGCTTAAAGAAAATGGGAACGCTTCACTGTAACGATGTGTGCAGTAAATGTTCATGTGCAGTTCAATGTTCATAATGATGAACAGTGCAGAAAGACAGCATTATAATTACATGCAGTCATTTAGAAACAAGAATTGTCAAGTCATTTAGAACATATTGTGGCATCTGCTAAAAAGAAGGCGCAGGAAATGCTTTAAAGGCGAATGCTCTTTTATTGAACAGGCAGCAAGGGAGAACCGCCGCTCAGCACTGCTGACACAGCCGAGATAGCAGGCAGGTCACTTCTAGCCATACACTTTCACCTGACGGTAGGCAATAACACTGCACCAACTGCCCCACAGCCCAGCTCAGAATGGCACAAGTAACACTTGTGCACATCATTAGACTAACAACAACAACTTATTTACAATAAATGGCTCTCTGGCCACAAGCGCGGCACCTCCCGAGAGGCTGTGCGTGTGACCGCTGTGCTTGGCCACGCCTCCTGCACTGCCAGTAGCGGGACACTACAATATAGTTTAATGAATTAAAAACACACTGATGCTTAGGCCCAATCCCATTTCACCCCCTCGCTCCTACCACTTAGCTCTACCCCTCTGTTTTGCGTGTTCATGTCTAGGGGTAGGGTGTCCCGATTTTTGTTTAGATAGAGGGGCAGGGTGAAGTGTTGGGGCTACATGACCCTCCAAATGGAGGTTTTTCAGAGACTCCAAACAGAGAGTTATGAGAAAAAAAGAAAAGCCGGCAAGATGGAGAACAAGAGACCAAAGAAACCCACAAATGTGAGAATTTTCCCCATTAAAAGTTACGATAACCACTGTATTATCTTAGTTTAATGTCGTTTCAATGTATTATGTTCCTTTGTTCATAACAAGCATAAAAAAACGCTAGTAGTGCTGATCTCTCGGTAGCTTACTGACTAAATTTCATCACATTTAAGGTGGAGCAGGAAAATTTGAACAAGAAGCTGGTGAATAGCTGACTGCATATCACTGAAGAATTAGTGGTGGGCGATATTAAATAATTGCCCCCCTTTGAAGATCATATGATGCCCTAAATGTAACTAAAGCCCAGCAGTGAGGAGCTGAACTTTACCCTCCTCTGCTGTCACTGCAGACCGGCAGGGTCGCCTACAGAGCAGTGCTAGTAGCTGTTAATGAAGTAATGCTCTTTTTATTTGAGGGTCCCATTTCAGAGGGCAGATTCCAACCACTACCCCTTGTAATTCAGTTCCAGGGGCAAAGTGACACTTAAAAACAAGGGGCAGGAGTAAAACTAAGAAATGGGACTGGGCCTTGGTTTATACTTCATTTCTTATGTATGTTTTTGTGCCACTGTATAATCTCCTGTATAACAGAGTAATATATCTGTGTAAATGTGTTTGTCTGCTGCAGTGTGGTCTAAGAACAGTAAGCCGGTCCACACCACCATCCTGAACCCGCACATCCACCTGATTGGGGAGGAGGCCGCCTGCATCGCCTACATCCGCATCACGCAGTACATCGACAACAATGGCATGCCGCGCACCGCGCAGTCCGAGGAGTCCCGCATCTGGCACCGCCGCGACGGGAAGTGGCAGATCGTCCATTTCCACCGCTCCGGAGCTCCATCCACAATTACCAAGTAAGACCATCAGGTAAAGAGGCCTGAGACAGATCTGAGAGAACACAGCTTAAAGGAGCAGCTCAGCCAAAGATCATTTTTACACGAGTTATTTATCTCCCCTTGCTGTGAGCTAATGTAGCTAACAGGCAATAGAAGCTTTTACCCGAAATCTTCACATACTTGCCCTAAACGTGTGAGTGAAGTTGACATCCTGTTCTGCAGATTCTTATTTAAATGGTCTGTTCCACCTTAAAGAGCACAACAGTTACATTCTGGCATCTAGGGCCATAATCACACATACTGCTTCTGCATGGCGGAAGTGTGAACGTGCTGGACTTTCATACATACAGTGTTTGTGCTGAGCAGTGAGAAGGTTATTTCCAGACAGATATATGGTCACATCACTCACTCTGCTCAGCAAAAATAGTATTTATGAAAGTGCGCGGTATGTTTGTTTATCCTCAACAGCATTCTAACTTGTGATTAGGTGAAAGTTTCAAGCGTGGTAGACCAACCAGGAAATCTGTTTGGTCTGTGGAATGTTTAACTAGTATTTCATCATGAATTAAAGTTTGTATATTGCTGTTGTCGGAAGAAAACCTCGTAATCTCCATTTATGTGAGTTTAACATTGTGTGTACATTTCATGAAGAATGGACCAAAAGAAATGTCCCAAAATGACTTGGAAAAAAGTCTGGTTCCATTGACTTACATTAAAAGTGAAGCAGGTTTTTTTCCTTCTCCTGTAAAGTTAATATTTTGGAGATACGAGGTTTTCTTCCGACAATTGTGATACGGTTTTGTATTTAATTTTCATGGCTTGTTTTGATGTATTTTGCTGTGTGACGTGTCTAAGTACCACGCTGCCTCAGTGCGGCGTCTGGGATGCTCAGCCGCTTCGCACGCACAGCCTGTGTGAAACCGCTGACCGGTTAATGTGGGTGCCAAAATGAAAACCATGACTTTCCGCAGTAGTAAGTGTGAATTGGGCCTAAGGCTGCCAATGTAACTGCTGCGCTATTTAAGGTGGAATGGAAAGTTCATCAGAAGCTGCTGAATATGAAAGCTATGTGGAGGTGTTCAGTAATAATCCATAATAAACTTGATTCTGACACTGTATGACTCACTGTTATCTATAAACATAGACTAAAGTACATTAGCATAGATAAAAACAGCAGCAGTTTGAGTTTTGTCCAACCGTATGTCACCATGTGCTAAAATTATGTTGATGCTATGCTCCAATTACTTACTATCACTTTAAGAGCCAAACCTGGCCCAGGACCAAGACTCACTGGTCACATTCTGGGCAGAGTTAATAGCCTATAAAGAGCTATTAAAAATGGAAAGGTCAGATCTGTCCTGGTGAATCTGTATAAATAGCCGCCACCTGAACAGACTTGGCTGAAAAATTGTGTAAATTTGATTCTTCATTGAATCTCCTTTAATCTGCTGTGGAGCAGCTCAGGTGTGGAGAGGAAGGTGACCGGAATGGAATGATACCTGACCTTTGTGACCCTGAGCTCAATCTGAAGCTCTCACTGATAACAAAATGATCTGTAGGGGCGAAATATGAGATTCCATGATGCACTGAATCATTTCCGAAATAGTCATAATTGAATTGAATCATTGTAAGATCAGAGATTTATACACTCTCTCTCTCTTTCCCCTTTCTCGCTTGTTCACTCACTCTTTTTTTCTTTCTCTCTCTTTGTCTCGTTCTCCCTCCCTCTGTCTTTTTCCTCTTTCTCTTTCTATCTCTGCCTCCTTCACTCTTTTTTTTCTCTCTTGCTCCCTTTCTATCTCCTTGTCTTTTCCCTCTCTTTCTGTCTCTCTATCTGGCCCTTTCTTCTCTCTTCCTTTCCCTCTCTTTCTTTCTTTCTTTCTCTCTCTCTGTATCTCTCTCATTTTTTCTCTCTATCTTTCCCTCTGTATCTCTCTCCCCCATTTTTCGGTCTCTTTCTCATTCTTCTCTCTCACACTCATTCTTCTCTCTCTCTATTTGTCTGATTCTGTATCTCCCTCTTTCTCTTTATCTCGCTCTGTCCCTGCTCTATCTCTCTGTATCTTTCTCTTTCTCTTTCTCTCTGTTCTCCTTTTCTCTATCTTTCTTTTTGTACCCTGTCTCTCTGTCTTTCTCTTTGTGTCACTGTCTCTGTTGTTCTCACTCTCTGCTGTTTTTCCATATCTTTCTCTTTCTCTCTCTTTCTTCCTACTTCTATTTTACCTCTTTCTCTTTCTATCTCCCTTCATCCTTCTTTTTTCCTATCTTGCTTACTTTCTGTCTCACTATCTGGCCCCTTCTTCTCTCTCCTTCTCTCTCACTCTCTTTCTCTCTCTCTCTGTTTCTCTCATTTTGTATGTCTCTCTCTCTCTTTTTCTCTTTCTCGCTCTCTCTCTCTCTCTCTCTCTCTCTTTCTCTCTCTCTCTCTCTCGTTTTTCTCCTTTCTCTCTCTCTCTCTCTCTCTCTCTCTCTCTCTCTCTCTCTCTCTCTCTCTCCCAGTTGAGCTGTAGTGTAGGTGGGGTTTGCAGTGAGAGTAATCCTGGTGGTCCACGCTGCTCTGTGGTTTTACTGCCCACCTGCCCACCTGTCTGAGGACCCACGAGCCCCTGCTTCACATTCACATGAACTCCATCCAGGCTTGTGTTTCTCCACCTTCATCGCTCACTCCTCCAGCGTGTGTGTCGATACGCCTTGCTGAGGAACATCTCCACCACTCCTCTCCGCCACTCCTCCACCACTCCCCCACCGCTTTTCTCTTCCGCTGTTTTACTTGGAATGCAGCATTTTTCCAAGGAAAACTGGTAAAGAGTGAGAGTTATTAACAGAACGTAGTTTTTGATTGTGACGGGACTGATTATGTTTGACTCGTGATGGGAACCATAAAGAGAAATATGTCCTACAAAACGAGCTCGACGTTGTAGTTCTGGTTGACGGTGTGTTGTTTTTGAGCCCATGTTGTAAAATAATAGAGAGTAACGTTTGGAGGTGCATGATTAACGCTTACCTGTTTATTTAGCCTAGAACTACAGGGGAACAGTAACGGTGTACGTTTTCTAACACTATTATTTAACTGTACAGTAATAATATACTTCCTGTTTGACTTATAAATACTCTTCATATTATATTTAAACTTTAAACTCCTTAAAAGTATAAGTTTGTCTGTTTGGATTTATAGAGAAACGCCACTGCTTAGTTCTGCCGAAGTTTAAACTCCAGGTCGTTTTAAGCAAAACACGATTATGAAACAATATGAAATAATAATAACTTAGAACACAAGGACAAACCAAAGTTACAAAATTAATAAATAACTTCCTGAACGTATCACAGTCGAAGCTGATGCTGCTTTAACAGGGTCAAGTGAGCTAGCTAATGTTTACAGTAGATCACAGACAACAGCGGCGTCTTTAAGGGCTACAGTGAAGGTCCACAATCATTTCGATTAGAGAAGAACTTTCATTTTAATCATTTTAATATCACAGTGTTTCATTATTTTCATTATTTTGTATTATAATTATTATTGTGTGGTCACATGTGCTTTGACTTGCAGTGTTGATGCTTTTGAGTGCCAGTTCTGTGCAGATTTCCAGATCATCACCCCGAGAAAACCCCCAGAAAAAGCCGTAACTTGTCAGATTACACTAAATTTACTCTGAACCAGCTTTGAATTTGCATAATTCAAATGCGCCAATCGATTTTAACGTTAATAAAATGTTAAATCAACTGACACATTTCAGTGAAGTAAATTCAAGGCACTGTTTCAGTGCTCTGCAGTGGTCAGTAATGGATATTACAGAATGCAGAGTAACTCTGTAGGGCAGTAAGTGAGGACTGAAGTGTCTGGCCAGTCAGATTTGACAAGTCATATTTCAAGTTTATTGCTTGTTATGTTGAAGCTCTGATCGCTGAAGTGTTCAGCATTAATCATAGTGGATGGAGCCAACTGTAAAAAAGTGAACTCTCTCTACAGACCAACACTTATACAGTAGAGCAGCTCAGTAACCTGCTTCAACCATGCCAGTGACCATGAGGACCAAAAACTGCTGAAAAGTTCATTAAATGTCATGTTATAACTGAAGTTTAGGGGCAAAACATGCCTGAAACCCTTCCTTCTTCCAATCTAACGCCCTAAAAATACACATCATCACCTTCCGCTCCGAAAGGTTCACAAGCCCCACTGCCACCCCATCTCCTCCCTGTTCCTCAGTCCTACATCAGTCCTACTACAGCTATGGGGGGTCTGGCCTTCTAGCTACAGGCAGAAGCTGCATAGAACTCCAGCCCAAGTGCTCAGAATTCTCCCCCTCCCTCAATTAGCCTTCCCTCATACCACCACCACCATGTTGAAGGCATGGTCTGAACACCAGTGCTTTCAAAATAAGAGTCCCTTATAATCCTTCTGTCGAATGTAAGTTTACTTGATTTAATTGAACACTAAAATATTATTAAACACTATGTATTTATGCTACTGGTATTGATAATATTATTATTACTACCATTAGTGGTAGTTGTGATTTGTTGCAGAAGAAGAATTGATAATAAACACTGACTAAGGTCCAATCCCATTTCACCCCTCACCCCTACCTCTTAGCCCTACCCCTCCATTTTGCACATTCAGGTCTAGGGGTAGGGTGTCCCGATTTATGTTGCAATAGAGGGGTAGAGCGAAGTGTTAGGGCTACGCAGCCCTCCAAACTGAGGTTTTTTGAAGCACACTCAGAATGTTGAGGAAAAAAAGAAAAACCAGCAAGTTGGCTGCGCAAGCGACCAAAGCAACCCAAAAATGTGAGAATTTTCTATGTTAAAAATGACAATATCCACTGTATTGTCTCAGTTTAATGTCGTTTCAATGCATTATGGTCCTTTTCTTTAGAACAAGCATAAAAGATTTCTAGTAGTTAGTCTTGGTCGGCTAGCTAGCTAATTTACCCCGTTCCACCTTAAATGGTGTAGCAGTTCTGACGCCTGAAGTGCCAGAATGTAACTGCTGCACCATTTAAGGTGGAACGGTAAAATTCAAACAAGAAGCTGGAGAATATCTGACTTCAGCTTCATATCACTGAAGAATTAGTGGTGGGCGATAATAAATAATTGCCCCCCTCTTTGAAGATCATATGATGCCCTAAATGTAACTAAAGCCCAGCAGTGAGGAGCTGAACTTTACCCTCCTCTGCTGTCACTGCAGACTGGCAGGGTCGCCTACAGAGCAGCGCTGGTAGCTGTTAATGAAGTAATGCTCTTTTTATTTGAGGGTCCCATTTCAGAGGGGAGATTTCAACCACTACCCTGTAACTCAGTTCAAAGGGGAAAGGTGACACTTGAAAACAAGAGGTAGGGGTGAAAATAAGGAATGGGACTGGGCCTGGGATGCTCTTAAATGAGTGTACAGGTTATGTAGGTAAAACTTAGGACACTTTTTCCCCCCGTATTTCTTCAACTGCTCCCGCACCCTACCCCCACCCTGGAGAAGACCACCCAGCTAGTGTGCCTGTAATTTGAGTTTGAGATATGAGATTTGAGCGTTTCTAAACTGCAGAGGCTGCAGAGTCCCACAGTCCAACTGTTTTCTTTCCTATTAGTCCCAAAGTCAACTGTCCGTATCAGAGTGATTAGTTTAGAGCCCATCTCTCTCATATATCTCAGATATAGCTCAGCTTTGTCACTGAATACAATGTTAATCTACTCATGAGCCTCAGAGTTACTCTGTGTTCCTGTATTCCACTCTCAGGTTCAGGACAAAGCTTATAGCAGCAGTTAAAAGTTTGGACACTCCGGCTCAGAGAAGGATTATTATAACTTCACTCATGTTCTGTAGAAACGCCAAGGCTTTCAAAATAAGAGTCCCTTGTAATTGTACTGTTGAATGTAAGTTTACTTGATTTAATTAATACTAAAATATCATTAAACACTATGTATTTATGCTACTTGGGACTAATTACAGTTAAAGGTTTGGATGCTCCTACTCAGAGAAGGATTATTATTATTATTTATTTCTACCATGTTCTGTATTTTAGAATAATGAAGACAAAAAGCATGAAGTAATTATACATTATTATACAAAGTTATACAGAGACCAATCAAACTATCTCATAATATTTCAAAAATAAGGTCATAGATTGCCTTTTTTCACTGTTTATATTTGGTGTAAAAACAAATTGTAATCCTTTGAACATAAACCTTTAAAATGTCTTTATTCAGTAAGTCAGGTGGGTCCAAACTCTGGACTGCAGCTGTACGCTAACCTGGCCCGCAGCAGCTTGTCTGCTCAGTTATTCCGTAAAGAGGGAACACTTCACTGGACTGTATTCATAACTCAGTAATATATGTGTGTTTTTCTTTCATTCTCCTGCAAAACCCTTAGAAAGTCCTAACAGTGCTGCTGTCAGCAGAGCATAGAACAAACACCTTCCGTGTGGTTCAGATGAAAGCACTGCTAACTCTGTACACAACGAGTGATATGAAGGGAGGGACTGTATCGGGGGTGGGGGGGGTAAATATAGATCATTTAGATCAGTTTACATCTATTTGATCTGCTTCGTTCACATTTATTGTAAAACTATAACACTGCATGCTTTCATGTTCAGTGTGCATGTACAGCTAGTTGCTGATAATCCATTTGGTGCTTCCAGCTATCAATATCATTTATTTGTATAATTCAAATAATGTGGTTTTAATTTATGCAGTCAAATTTTTTACTGAAAGTCTGATTTAGCTTTAGTCTTGCGGGAACAGACCTGATCTCGTTATGAGAATACACGTCTGGGGACTACTTGTTAAACCTTTGGTGCTAGATTGTGGCAAACAAGGGAACGTCTCCTACAAACCCCACCCCTAAATTTCTTCAGAATACAGTTGTAAACAAAAACAAAAAGGCTAGCTAGCGAAATGCTATCGTTAGCTAACAGAACTGGTTTTCTCTGTTTATTTTCACTGCATGTAATGTGTTCTCCACACACGACTCACCACATGCTTGACTTGAGTTTTATGGGGAATTTTCAGCCATGCTAACTTATGCTACATTCATGTGCTAATGACAGGCTTGTATGCCGTCAGACAGTGTTGTGAGCACAGCAGCGCCCCCTACATTAAGCTCTGCTTTCCTCCCACATTTAGCCCAGAATTTCTCAAGATTGTCCGCAGACGTTCTCAAGATCACGCCTGGACCTGCGAGACTCATCTAGCTGTAGATGTTTATCAGCTGCTTGAAAATTCCCCTATTTTTGTGTCTGTAAATTAAGCACCGTATTTTTTTGTTTAATGTCCACAATTGTGCAAAAAGTACCTTAATATGATTAATTTTTTAATATTTTCGAGCCCCATCAGTTTGCTCTGGCGCTAAAGTGAGGCCTTTGAGTAGATTCAGATATTTTGGAAAAACTGAAAAAGTTTTCTAAGAGAGCAAAATAATATTTTACTAATTAACTTGAGTAAAATAATAGATTTGTGATTTAGGGCCCATGATATTCCCCATATTCCCTGATCCCTCCATACATGCAAAAATTGGTGAGCTAACTTTCAATGAAACGAGTGCAGCAGGCATTCCTGATCTGGATGAAGAAAAGCAGAGAGGCTGGAATGTCAGTGCAGACTGTAGAACACCGTCCAGATCTGGTGAAGGTTCCTCACTCTGCTAAAGCTACCTCAACTTTCACAGTGCATGGATTTAACGTTTCCCTAAACAAGCCTCCCACCACAAGGAAATGAAATCAGTCCTCTTTCAAAATGAATCTAGTTTTACAAAGCTGAGATTTGTTGAAGCTTGACTGAAGTTTACATTTGGTGCACTTGAAAGAAGATCTATAAGTGACTGATGAAGAAAAATGTGTCATAATAGTATTTAGTGTTTAGAACAGTACTGAAAATAATAATTAAAATTCGTTCTAATTGGTCCTGGATGAAAGTGTAACTGAAATATCATCATTAGTAGTAATATTTCATTAATGTCCCATCTGTCTTCACTGCCTCACACACTGCATTCACTGATTCTTTGGCTGGTTATTGATCATTTGGTAAATAGAGGCAGATAAAGAGAAGATCTAGTTCTCACACTAAAACAAGACTAACACAAATATAAAAAAATCCCACCATTATTACATCACTGTATTACAGTAACTGACCCTGAATGCACATATTTAACCATGGCGTTCATTATTGAAAACATTTGGAA